GTCGCCACCAACAAAGCCGCAACAGTCGCAGTTGTCATGATAAACTTCATTGTTCGAAACCGAGTAGGCAAAGAAAGATTAAGAGCAAACTTGAGGGGAATGTACACACCAAAGTGGAACTAGCTACTAGATAGCAAGAGAAGCTATGCTCAGTGGTTCATTAATGAAATAATGACAAGTGGATGTTCTCGCTGACTGAACTGAAGCAATCAATCAGCACAAAGGAAGCCAAAGAGAGTTGGAGGCAACAACCGCAAAAACAAACGTCAGAAAAATGAGACAATTCCGAGGAAGGGCAGACGGGTAGACTGAGTCACGTTACGAAGGTCCACGGGATTCGACCTTCGTCATTCTTTCGTCGAACTGATGCCGTTTGAAGGTCCTCCATTTTGTGTTGTTCTCACAATGGGAACAGCGCAAAGACAGAGGAAAACCAACAACTACGATAGACATCGAACTCTTTGCCTGCCATTTTGGATAGCTACCGGCAATTTTCTTAGTTTGCTTTTTGTGTGAAGATAGATAGATCACTTAACTTTTTCAAGAACAAACATGATGAGTTTGCGTCTGCTGCCAATTCGTCGCTCCTTGGGTTCCACGAGGGAACAATGGCAGTCGGCAATGACGATTCCCTATCGATACTTTTCCGTCAAGGAATTGCCGTGGTGTGCTCCCAAGAATTCACCCAATCGAAAGAATACAAACCATCAATCGAGAAAGAAGGATGACAGAACGAACCAAGGACAACCCACCAAAGCTGCTACAACGGCGCATTCCGACTTACCTGAACCCATTGACAAGTTTGGAATTGTGGCGGCCATGTCCCAAAATAGAATTATTGGTCGGAATGGTCAGATACCATGGCCGCGATGTCCACAGGATCGAGAGATTTTCAAGAATCTTACCCGTGACAAGCTACTGATTATTGGTCGTCGGACCTTTCAAGAAGAGCCATTGCTGCGACATATCCACCATGTACGTTGGTGCATTGTGGTGACAGCATCCTCCAAATCCATAACATCATTGTTCCAGGACAAACAACAATATACTGATGGTAATGAGGATGATCCGCAATACATGTACCATCCTTATGCACCCCAGACGCAATTGCAAGTGGCACCGTCTCTGCCCCATGCATTAGGATTGGCCAGGGAGATACTACTAGAGGAACAACAAACAACAGCAAGTGCAATTGGCAAGACTGACAATCAACAACAGCCACAAAACACAAACATGGAGGAACTTCACTGCTGGGTAGCTGGAGGAGAAAGACTCTATGAGGAAGGGTTGAAACATCCATCTGCGCAGGAAGTTCACTTGACAACAATGCACCTCACTGTGGATGTGCATAACAATAGCAATCCTGCTGAGAATGGATTGGCTGCGACTAGTGTGAACCAATTGGCCATGTTTCCGGCTAAACATCGCTGGGATAGACCTTTCAAGCAAGTCAAAAAGGAAGAAGGAGGAGGTCCCTCAGACGAAGCTCCAGAATCGCCATACTTTACCTACGAGATCTATAAGCGAATGCATACGGTAGCTAGCTAGCCACAAGTTTGCCACAACAGGATTAACCTCTGAAACTAGTACCAGGTAGCTTCCTGGCAGCTGGTTGACTGCTTCTCTCTAGCTAGGATCTTGTGATCTGTCAGCACCGTTCAGTGGACACAGGTTCCTTCGTTTCAGCTCTGTTTCAATCTGCAGAGCTGTAAACGACGAGGTTTTTGCGTGGTTAGGTCAGTTTGATTGTCATTTTTTGACAACTAAATTCTTCGCTTGTGAGCGCGTCTTTCAGTCTCGACAGCTGGTGACCCGTCCATTGATTGCTTCGGTCGCATCACTCGTCGTCGACGAACGCAGCAACCACCTCCCCCGCCGGTCCCTGCTCCGTACAAACTGTATTGCGTTCTATTTATTCTTTGAACACTCCCTCTTGTTGCTTCTAGTACTACTCGCATTGGTTACTTGCAATAGCGAAACCAAGAGATAATACAACGAGAGAGATTAAAGGTCAGTCAAAAGGTGAAGAGACTCTGCTACCATCGACACTACTAGTACTACCAGTACTGACAGCACAACGGAAAAGGCTTCGCATTTACTTGTTCTGTTTGGGCCCGCCAAAAAGATACCTTTTTTCTTCTGTGAATTACTCCGTTGACAATGCTGGGCGCACGAGTGATTTCTGATCAGAATGTGCAGGAGAATGCAGGCGATGAACAGCAGCAACAAACTGCGGAAACGGGCGACAACGCTAACAATTCCCACAACTACGGTAGTCCTTCCCAACCGGCCGCCATGATCGAACCCGACAACGATCCAACCGAATACAGCGACCACGACGCACCGTTGGATTTGATTAGCCCTCCCAATCGCAATGTCTCGGACGACGCATTCACCACCAGTTCTTCACTGAGCGATGCCAGCGAGGGCAACAAGTCTCAGAATCTAGTGGATGTGGACATGGAAGATGTGTTTGCATACGAAGGATCGCCCACACCGCTGGCAGGAGTGGGTTCGGGACCGTATCTGAATCAGCATCCTCCCACGCATTACCAGCAGCACTTGCAGCCCAAACAACAACGATTGCAGCGGATGGATTCCACACCCTCGGATGATTCTGGATCCGGACGAGGGGCCACAACGACCAGCCAGAACTCCAGTCGCGATTGGGGATGGTTTGAAGATGTGCATCAGAGCGGACAATTGACCCCCACTGGCTCATTGACGAACCGAACCACTCGTCGCCACCCAGATGAAAATGGACACAAGAATGCTTCTGGAAAATCCAAGAAGTCAATACCTCACCGCATTGGATTGGATCCCAACAATGGTAAGTGCTTTATCTTCTCTACTCTCTAGCTAGATTGCAATCTAGCTAGCTAGCATGGTGGCTAGAAATGGCCATGTTTGCAACTATTTATTCTTACCCATAACGTACTGCTTGCCTTTTTAACACACACACACACAGAAACAGCTGCTGCCGCCATGGCCGTGACAGCCCCAACCTATGTACTCGAAGAATCCCTTTCCTCGCAACGGCTCTGGAAGTATACTGCCGGGAACCGCCCACCACAACCCATGGAAGAGCGCATGTTTTACGAAAAGATGTGGGCGCAAAACTTTGCACGATCTCAAGTCAATTATCAAATGCCCGTCGATGTGCTCACGGCCACGTCGCCCATTTCCCTCAGCCCCTTTGCCGAAGGAACCATGGAAATGTCGGCGGCTGCTGCGGCTGATGGAGGCGATTATAACCAGTACACGATTGGCATGAATACACCGGCCAATACACACAACATGATGATGCCTTCCTCTCGCACGGCCGCCGGAGGCAATAGTCGACCCGAGGAAACGTCCGGAGGGGCCAAGAGTGAATCGCGAAGTGGACTCAAAGAAGCCCCGAGGCCGGCTGCGCCTGCTGTACTCCCGCCCATGGCACATCAGGATATTGTCAATAAAGGTCCGTTTATCATGGCATCACGAAGAGTGAAAGCGTTGTTTTTAAAGAAGTCAAGCCAACTAACGTTGTCTCACTCGTTCTTTTTGCATTCATTTCTGGAATAACAGTGGCCAAGACAGAGAGTGGAGATAACTTGCGCGTTTTGGTGCGTGGAGACAACGTGTTTGGTACTACTGTGAGCAAGTCATTTGCCTGTACAGATGAACGTGGAGGACCCATTACGGGTGTGGACACTGTCAATATCTCCGTTGCCAGTTATCGAGTTGTGGACGTAAGTGTCTCAAGGCTATGGATACTGCTTGCTTGCTTGCTATGCTATGAAAAATAGATGTGCTCAACCTGTGTTTCTTGCGACCGCAACTCTCATGCTGATATCAGTCTCAGAAGAATGGCAAATACGCGCAATTCCTGGTCATTTACCGCGAAGGCAGTATTCGAGACACCATTGGTGTTTGGAAACGGTATTCTGACTTTGATGATTTGGCCAAGAAGGTGACACAAGCACACGAAGGGTGTGCATCTGTCATTGCCAACATGTCTCCATTGGCCATCACAGAGGAACACGATGTGGAGCATCTCCCCAATGCCATCACGAGTTGGAGACTATTGAAGAAAAGACAACGATGGTACAGATGCTTGGACGCAGGATACCTGTCGCTGAAAGTATTCCTCCTTGAACGATTCCTTCATGACATTTTGTTTGAAAGCTCCAGCCCGAAATTGCTTCGGGAGTTTGTAGGAGCAGATCAATCGCTTTCTCGTTGAGGTGGTCGAAGGGAGAGTACCGCCCCTGGGTACCGGGTACCGCTACCTGTTGGAACCACCCTGTCTGCATAGTTTTGGTTAGAAAGGAGAAGCAAAGGGCGACTTGAGGATTGAGGATACTTCGTGAACTAGTCAATCTCGAGCACCATTGCTTCTCGCACGAGAGTTTTTTAGATTTGATGTAAGAATACATACCGGTACATTTCATAATGGTTTTCTAAAAATCGAACGAGGCTTCTATTGCTTGCTTATTAGTTGAACCGTCGAGAGATGTACGCCAGGTACTGAGTCTACAATACTAGCGTCGTTTGGGTGCCGACACTACTGGATATCTTAGCACGAGCGGGAACAGCACTCGAAGAGCCAGCTTAGCTAAACAGGGTGTTAGTACGGTAGAAAGATCCTCCTCAGTCGAAGTGGCAGGTAGGACAATAGTAGCGTGCAAGAACTCGGGCTCGAAGCGTGGTAAACGGCAAACCAAACTCTGGCAACAGGCAAACACTAGTCTATGGAGGCAGTGTAGATCACGAGATCACGAGATCACGAAGCATACGATAGTTTTGGGGGGATAGCGAAAACTACTGCAATCTCATGCCCACCGCTGGTTTCAGAGATGCAGCCACTTCAAACCACTGCTGACTGATGTTGCGAATTTACAGTGGTCACTTTCACCATTCTTGCCCATCGCTCCTTCGCTGTGGTACCACTGGCATTGCCCATTTTATACCATGTTTGCCCATTGTTGAAAAAGGCATTGGATGACAGCGCCATTGTTTATCAGTGTTTTCTTGGTGAGCATGGGATGGCACTGAATTTCTCCGCCCCCGAAAGCCTCCCAAGCTCCCAAGTAGTGGGAGTCGAGTCATCAAAGCACTATTTTAAAATGGATGCAGCCCAGCCACGGCTGCACAAAGAAGCCCGCTAGCGACGTGAAGTATGAGATCCTCTAGCGACTTGTCCTCCAAAGCGGCGACGGATGCTTTCTATTAGCTTCCCCCACGCAGGACACAGCCCTGGCATGGCTGCAGACAAAATTAAATGTGGGCCATTCACAATGTCTGTACGAGCTACACTAATTTTGAACCGGTAGCAAAAGTTGCCGATTGCCGTGGCTTGAGCGGTTTGCAGTTTTTGCTTGGACGGGCGGCCAGTTGTGGTGGTCCTGGCTTTCTCAAGACAGCAGCAATGACCTTGTTCCTTCGCTTCAAGGTCGCAAAACAGAAGACCGATGCTGAGATAGAAAAAGTCGTCGAGCGCACGAGGCCAAAGCCACAGAGCGGGAAACTTTTTTGGCCAACAAGCTGCCTGGAAGCAGCAGATGATGCTCCCCTCTTCCCGTGTTTCCTTGAGCGTTGGGGGGCACCGGTACCGTACCGATTACATATATGTCTCCATGGTCATCAGCTTGGAACGGAGCTACTGTCAAGATCTACTGTTTGAACCCTTGAACCCAACTTAGGAACTGTGCGGAACAAGACACTCGGTTGCTTCATGCCAGCTCTCTGTATTCCCATTTCCCATCTTGCTTTGCCTGTGTTCTCCTGGCGCGGTACCACAAGACATAAATTAATTACAAGTGAACGTTTACGATTAGTTACAGCAATCCCATTCAATCGTGGCATGAAGCCCTCACAGAGTTCCTGAAAGCCAAAAATTGGGGGACTACGCTCCCCCTTTTACTTGGCTCAGACAATATCGGTACCGTAGTCTCCACTAGCTAGCTACCGTATGCCATAGCTAGTACCTGCGAGCGAGGATTTGCCATTGTTGAAAAGACATTGGTTGACAGCGCCAGTGATAACAATGGCGCTGTCAACCAATGTCTTGAAGATGGTTTACCTTACCGTGGTTGGCACTAGATTTCTCCACGCCCCGGTATTGATAAATTTGATATAGTTGGAGCCAGAAACGATGGATCTTATACCAACCGTTCTCTTGCTCAGACAACTAGTAGCATACTGATTACTTTAGACTTTTAGCTGATCTCTCCTTCCACTCAATGATGCTGTAATGTTTTGAACACCTTTTCCTGGCTTCTGATGAAGATTTGAGGGTCATTCAACATCCTGCACCTCAGCCCCAACAGAACTGGAGATTGATGCTCAATCTCACCCCCAATAGTCCCCCAATTTAGATTATTTTGCGTCGATGAGCTGCAGGGGGTGACAGAGCTGTGACAGTTGCAATACGACTGTAGTGCTTGCCCGCCATCTTGCTAGTTTTGGTCGTTGTCGAGGCTTGCGCTCATGCTGAAAATTTACTGGCCATTTTTCGATGACTTCCCGGAAGCGGATGGCCATGAACACCAAAATGTGCCCTGCCGCTTCTTAGTTTCCTTCTTCCAATGACTGAAGAGTTAAAGACAAGTTCGGCTGGTTTAGCCAGATCGAAATTTCCTAAATATGCCCTTTCGCCATTATCAGTAGCATCTGTTGTGTGCGGTAACAATTTGAGCGGAAAGTTAGTCGCTTTATGGCAGCCCTGGGAAAAATATCTCTAAGTTTAGCGTGGCCAAAAGCACTGTACAAAATAGAAAATGACCAGCCGTAAACCTCGAAAACCAACCAGCCGCCAATTCAATCCTGGTCACAGACACGGGAATGTAGTCTGATGAGTCACAGGAAGATTAGAAAATCTGCAAAGCTCCATGCTTGTCGGTGGATGAAGGCCAAGTAAGAAAGAAGAAAGCACGTTGTCTCAACCAAGGTCTTCACACAGTCAAGCACAAGCAACAAGAACCTACTGGAATACACGGCTGCTGGGATATTGGAGACAGTTTCTAACTTCGCAGATCCGGTTTCAGACCAGGCAACGTCTTCAGAGTCATAACTTCTCCAGCTCAACTTTTCTCCAGCACAGGTTCATAGCCGATTTTGCGGTCTCACATTATTTCCAGCCCAGGCAATCAAACAACTACAGTTCAACTCAAGATCCCCAAGTTGTGCACAAGCAAACAAGTTAGTTGTACACCACACATCTCATTTTTCTACCAGGTAGATCTTTCTTCGAATACTATTGCAAAATGTCACGTTCTCGAGGAGTCAGTTCCGATACTCGCACCACCTTCATCACCACAGATTCTCTGTCGGCTGATGATGAGTTTGACCGCGAATCCATGTGCTCTTCCATCCCTGAGGGTAAGTACAGAAAGCCAATGATGCATGGATTCACCACGAAATTTGCTCAGCACTCACTCACCATTTACTTGTCTCTTGTCCCACCACCAACACCCACAGAAGAACATGAAGAAAGTATGAGGAGTTGCTCCTACCCGACCAAAGGTCAAAACAACAATTCCCAAAAAGCCGCCAACAGCCAAGGCCAAGACGATGAGCAATACTTCAATGCTTGGGTCCGATTCATGAACCACGTCCGCCACACACTTACGGAGTTTGTCGTCATGGTGTCCACTGTAGCAGCAAGGAACCCCAAGAGGACAGTCTGCATTGTTCCTCTTCTCGCCATGACATTCATTGTTGTGGGTCTGTTCACCAACTTCAACATGGACATTGGTGCCGATGTCATTTACACACCCTACGGCAGCCGTGTTGGATCTCACCAGCGCTGGGTCGAGCAAGAGTCTGGCTTCCCCAAAATGCATCGCAATCTTCGCATGATCCTCTACAGCTACCAAGGCGGCGAATCTGTCTTGAGCAGGAAAGGTGTAGAAGGTGTCATTTCTGCCATTGATGCTGTCAGAGACATACCTGGATACGACGAAACTTGTGCTGAATCCACCTACAAGAATGCCCAAGGCATCCACACCTGCGAGATCCGAAGTGTCGCCAACTTTTGGAATATCTCCATTGACACGTTCCGAGGAAAGGTCCCCACCGATGTAGATGTCAGAATGCAAGTTTCCAAGAAAAAGTTCCCCGACAAGAGCCCAGTCGACATCCCTGGAATCATGGGAAACACCAATATTCGTGGTACGGACATTATCAGTGCTCAGGCTTTCTTCATTGACATTGCCCTTCCTTCAACAGCCAAAGACTTTGAAAGCGAGGCATTGGACGCTGTCCTCTATCTTCGAGAGCGATGGGAAGAAAACCGCCACCTCTCGCTAGAAGTGTTGGCGTACAGCTCCTTGGAAGATGAAACCTTGCGGTCCGTCATGCAAGATATCCCTCTGGTTCCTGGTGTCTTCGTCATCATGAGCCTCTTTTGCTGTTTCATCTTCTCAAGACGACACAAGGTCCAATCGCGAAGTCTGTTGGGATTGGGGGCTGTCGTCAGTGTGCTGCTCAGTGTCGCCAGCGGATACGGTATCATGTTCATCATTGGTAAGACAACAGACAGACAGGACACGCTATGCCAGCAACATCAACGCATCATCCCTCTCACCTTTTGTTCTTCTTGTGCTTGCTGCAGGTGTCAACTTTACTAGCGTGGCCCAGATCCTCCCGTTTGTAATGTTTGGAATTGGTCTGGATGATGCATTCATCGTCATGGGTTCTTACCTTCGCACTGATCCTGAAAAGGACGTAGTGGACAGGATTCAAGAGACCATGAGGGACATTGGTCTCAGCATTGTTCTTACAACCATCACCACCACTATGGCTTTCGGATTGATGGCCCTTTCCAAGATTCCTCTCATGTATTGGTTGTCCTTCTACGCCATGACAACCATGTTGATTGTCTTCTTCTACACAATCACATTCTTTGTCGCCCTGCTCGTCTTGGATGAAAACCGCATCAAAGAAAACCGAATGGACTGCTGTGTCTGCATTACAGTGGACGAAGTTGAAGATGGCGACACAATGGATACTGCGGAGTCCATCATGGAAGAGGGCAGTGTGGCCGTGACCTTTAAGACCGTGCCCAAGAAGAAAGAGATCAAGGCAGACGACGAGACCAACAATGCTCTTATTGCTTTCATGGCGTGGTATGCAGACATCTTGATGAAGCCCGCGGTGAAGGCCATTGTACTGGTGGGATTTGTGTCCTTTGTTGCATTCTGTGCCTACAGCACTTCACTCTTCTCTCAAGCATTCAACGTCACTGAAATGTTGCCCGGGGACTCGTATGCAAAGGCTTACTTGGCGGCCTCCAACGAGTACGGCCAGCGGGGATGGGTCGTCCCATCTGCATACTTTCGTGACGTGGACCAATCCGACGAGGATATCCAGGCACAGATGGAGGACTACGTGAACTCTCTTGTTGAGATCGACTCCATCACCAGCCAACCCCCTCTTTTCTGGTTGAGACACTTCAAGGAGTTCCTTACCTATGACGAACGCCTTGGGGACTTGACCTTCAACGAACAAATTGACATCTTCCTGTCCCATAGCCCCTTTAGGGAGCTTTATGGACCTCACATTGTCCGCAATTCGACCGGTGACATTGTCGCTTCCCGGTGCGTCTTGTACATGGACAATATTGACGTTAATAGCGTGCAAAGCCAGCTTCTTGCCTTGCATCAACAACGGAACGCCAGCCTCACGGCCCCCGTCAACGTTGGAGAGGCTGAGTTTAAGTTCTTCGCTTGGGAATGGAATATGTTCATTTGGGACTTCTACGACATCACTGCTGCAGAGTTGACTTCAACAACGATTTTGGGTGTGATCAGTGTTTGCGTCGTAGGGTTTGCCTTCATCCCCCATTGGTCGGCCATCTTCTTCCTTTTCCCCTTCATCTCCATCCTCTACATCGACCTGATGGGATTCCTCCAGTTCACCGGAAACAACTTGAACGCTGTTAGTTACTTCTCCTTGGTCATGTCGATCGGTCTCTTGGTCGACTTCTTGATGCACGTGCTCCTAAGGTACCATGAGTGCCCGGGAGAAACACGAGAAGCAAAGGTCAAGGAAGCTCTCAAATCCATGGGGGCTTCGATTCTTGTTGGTGGCCTTTCCACTCTTTTGGGCGTTGTCCCTTTGGGCTTCAGCTCAAGCGAACTAATGCGCACAGTATTTGTTGCTTTCATGGGCATGGTGGCGCTTGGCATTTCTCATGGTCTGGTTGTCCTCCCGGTAGTCTTATCCTTGGTTGGACCCATCACAACAGTACCGCATCACGTCACCTCTTCCACTTCTAAGAAATCAGTTCCTGAATCACAAGGAAAGCTTCAATCTCAACCAAGCAGCAAGAAGCTCGAATCAGAACCAAGTACCAAGAAATTGCAAACCCTGCCAAGCACCCCCATCCTCCAGACCCATCAAAGCCTCCGGGAGCTTTACGCTGAGCCAACACCAAGGCAGCGAGGCCCCAAGGAAGTAGACGTCGATGACATGATGTCTTGGGATGGCGAGATTGACTTCATGTCTCAAGGCTCGATGGACGACCCAAACGAGGTCGAATGTTAGCGGGGAGTAGCTTGGCAGAAAGCTTCATATGAACAAAGTCACAAAGAACAACTTTAGAATAAACTGTAACATAGAATGATTCGATTAAAAAAACTTCTAGGCCTGGCTCCGTGCATAAGGTTACTCTATTTTGGTGTACACTACCTGTAGCTTCTGGTGACCTCCGTTGGTCCTTACGCTATCTGCGGCACTGTTGCCGTGTGACAAACGCGGCTTCATCTGGACACACCTCTCCAAGTTCTTCAAGTGACAACTTCAGATCTGCAGCACCAAGATTGACTGCCTCCGAAAGCAGCCTTTTGTATGTTAGAATCTCTAAACAGAGGGCTCGGCATAAATTTTGAATCCCAAAAGAACTTGCATTGGTGGTGGATACTGGCAAAACCTTTTGTTGGGCCGAGTTCTGAGGAGTTCCAAGAGATTCTGGCCAAGAGTATTGGGTGTCGGGCCCACCAAGGAGTCTGTTGATTGTCTTCCAATCATGTACCATGTGCTCTGCTCGAATCACAAAAATCTCCTTGGAAGGTGCTGTTTTGGCATCGCTGTCGTCCTCCTCCTCCATGTTGAATAGTCGATGAGTGTACCAGTCATAGTTGTAGAAATTGTGGTAGGTAGAAGGGATGTGTCCTTGGACTGCAGCCCATGCCCACTGAGCGCACTGTGATTGGGTAAGATTGGATTGCATCCTCAGCGGTTGTTCCTTGAGATTTGGTGGTGGGGACCCTGCCAACCCATTCGATACCAGGGCATCAAAAGTCGGATAGCAAGAGAAGAGCATCAAATCGCCGCAATGGTAGTCTCGTTCGGCATAGTTGACTTGATGGTTTAACGGGTGTTCATACAAGTACCAGGAGGCAATGCGGTCAATTGGATGTCGAGCATTGACAAGAAAAGAATCGTTGATATCCAAACAATACTGATGACCAGACATGTGATTGAAGCAATTGACATGGAGCGAGAGTGGTGACATGGGCACAGGTCGCCTCATCAATGCAGGGTCACAATGTTTGCGCACATATCGCCGAGACTCCGCCAAGTGACATCCAATACTGGAACCACCGGCCTTGCCCAGATGAAGGAATGAAATGTTGCGTTGGATTTTCAGAGATGTAAAGTTGAAACGCGGTTGTTGCGTTCGTAGCAGCATCTGATAGTATTCATTGGTGTTGTCCTTGATTTTGGATGGGTCAAAGTTGTACGAAGCTGTTTTGAGCTCTTCACGGTGTTTCCATCCTGACTCTACCCAATGTTCTTCTTGACCAAGACTGTATCGATGTCGACTCTCATCATAAAAGTCAGGAAATCGGCAATATTCCAATCCAAGGTCTTCCCAGAGAGGGACTTCTAGGAATGGTTCGGTATCAGGCAATTGGTCATCCAACAAAAGATCCGATCTCTCTCCTCTCTCAGAATAGTTAGCTTCCAAACCATACTCAAACAAAAGAAGACCCAAGAAGAGGAGACAGGGCATCTGAAGCCAATGCCGTTTCATGGCTACTGAGAATGGCATCTTTCAAGCAACCTCAATTGCTCATCATGTCATCATGGTGATGATCTACTGGTAGACTAGTACTAGTAGAGTGCATTCCACACAAACAGAAAATTGTCGCGGGGGGATCCACGGAAATGGAGGAGAACCGGATGAGTGAAGATATTTTATTCGACTGGCTAATTAGGGCCAATTCTGCCTGCTTCGAAATTCAAAAAGCAAATTCAAAACGCGCCCGGCGATTGGAGGCAAGCCCCCCTCCAAATCTTCTCACTTTTCCAAGCAATTTCGACATCAGCATCAACATCAACAACAGCAGGCAAGATGGAGACACCTGTAGTCGGCAGCAACAACAATTCCGTGGTTAAACACCTCCGATTGATTGTCATTGTCATCGGTTTATTGATGGCCGAGTTTTGTCTTCAATCGATCTACTATCAACAACGTCATGAAAAGAGTTCATCGGCTTTGGGTTGGTACATGGACACAGCTGCAGTTGAGGTCCCCAAATCCGACAAATTCATCTCCGCCTTGGACCTGAAGCAATGTGTTTTTCCCGTCTACTTTGAAAAGTCCCAGTTTAATTTCAAGCTGAAGAATAATGCATTTGTCGAGCCAGGCAAATGGAGAGAACGCAACAAGAAATTCTACGGTCTTCAAGATGCCAAGCATGTGCACAAGTTTCTCGTCAAGACAGAAAATAACAGAAAACAAGCATTGGAGAAGAACCCCAAACTGCCTCCACTTAAACGCAATATCACCTTTGTGGTAAGAAAAAATGAACTTAAAGCACCACAGCTAGCCAAAGCAGTAGCCTCGTCACTCTTACGTGCTCCACTCACCTCTTGCTACTTTACTTTTCAAAAAAGCATATTGGCAAGGCCGGAGGATCTACCATTGCTTGCAGCTTACGATGGGGACGCCAGTATATCCAGAATCATTGCGACAATATCGATTATGACGCTATTGACAACTATGATCCCAAGACAGCAAAAAGACCTTACATCCCTGAGTCTGCGATTTCCAGACATGTTAACTGCTATACACACTGGAGAATGGTAAGTTCTATCTGTGCGTCCAACGTAGTGCTGGCTGACGCAAGAAGAGAAGCATGCTGACATCTTTCCGTAACAAAAGCACCTCTCTTGTATGTACATGCATGGAGACCACCCCTTTAGTGGAATGGACCCCACAAAATCAGACCGAAATCCCTTTGGAAGTCGGCGGCTTCTTGAAGGATCAAAACAACCAGTGTTGCCCAAAAGACACAATGACTTCTTGGTCAACTTGCGATCGCCTCTGGATCGAATTGCATCATGGTTCACATATGAGCATATCGAAAACCACGGTATTGGTACGTATAGACGAATGCTGTTGCACTAAGGATCCTCTGTTTTGCACTTTGATTACTCAGTGTTGTTGCCTGCCTGCCTTCTTCATGCATCAAACTCCAGTCTACAAAGATCGCCAATATCATTGTGGTCAGGTAGTTCTTGGCTCTTGTTATCGACACTTCGAGCACTTGACAACCATTGGCTTGGGCTTTCCAAGGCCGTCACCGAATCAACCACTCAAGGTTGGCACCAATCTCAGTGCAACTGAATGTTCTCATTGGGCATGGGCTGCTGTTCAAGGTAACATGCCTGCTGACTACCATAATGCCTTCAATTACGAGTGGTACGCTCACAGGCTGCTGGACGACAGCCTCAACTCCCAAGCCGACATGTTCGTCTTGCGGGTAGAACATTTGGAACAAGATTGGACCACAGTTGATCGAATGCTGGGAGGAACAGGCGCCTTTCCTTCCACACTCGCTTCCAGGCAAAACTCGGCTGAAATAAAACCTCTGCGCGTTCCCAATCACAATACAACCGACTTGGGCATTTTAAACTTGTGCCGGGCTCTCTGTGAAGAGATCCAAGTTTACAAAAGGTTCCTTCTGGCAGCAGTCAATCTAAGCCCAGGGGACGTGCAGGCCTCCGGGGACGAGTTACGACAACGTTGCCCCGAAGAAAGAGACGTTCAACCCAGAGTTTGCCCCAAGGACTAGCAAGAAGTACAGCGGCATTCAAATACACATTATAGGCTAACCAATACAAATGGTTTATTGGCTTTTCGTTCCAGTACTTTGGATGTGGTTATTGGTGTCCCTCTCTCGATCCCTAATGATTGATTGCAGCGCCAATCACCCAAGAAATTGGAAAGTCGCATTCACTACCGGTAGACTAGATCTAGTCTAAACTGGCAACCCTCTCGCCCAAAACCATGCACGGGGCGATGCTGCGACGGTACCGGTACGTACTGTTTGCGTCTCCGTGTTACGGGCGATGCTGCGAAGAATAGGAGATATCCGTTGTCTACTAGCTACTAGAGAGTTAGGGCGTGGAAAATGATCTGACTCTTGATTGTTCTTCTCATACTTCTGGAGTAGACTAGTTTGAATTTCTTGGCCATTTTGAGTTTCTCATTGTTCCCTGTTTTGTTGCAAGGCAGACATGGTCAATTCGTAGGCACTGAACCTTGAACTGCTAACAATGAATGCCCTCATAATGGTTGGCAATGCACCACGGAAGAGTGCCCGCACCCCACGTGATTCCATGAGCTCCTTGAATACCTGTCGACCTGTGATGCGGTGTGCATTTTCTAGATCCTGACCCTGCATTCCAGCTCTGACACAGTCAAAGGGCAAACTGGACAGCCATGCCAATGCTCCTGCTGTTCCACCAGCCAGTGGAACTGCCAGCTCAGGTCGAAGTTTGAGGCTGTCATTATCTTCATACCCATTGCCAGTGAGAGTTACCTTGAGGCCTTCATAGATGTAAAAGTAGGTGCAAAGATATGCTGCATCTCTCAATGTAGTTACTGTTGTTCCTGTAAACAAGGTAGGTACTCCATGTGCTTTGGATATTTTGGTGATGCAATGCCATGATCCATGATATTGTTTCTTGCCGACATTGTCCATTTGCATTTGAGTCTGCAATGAGAAAAAGTGAGTGAGTGAGTGAGTGAGTCGAGCCCAATGCACTATTTCACTGTTCATAAGATATGTCTGGTACCAGTACATGTACTTACTTTAACCAGTCCTTCCATGGCGGAGACCCAGCTTGTAACAGGAGCTGTGATACCACCTGCAAGTGCATTCTTGACATCCCAACCCTTTTGTGCTCCTACTTGGTTCTGTGCCCATGCATAGGATCCAAAAGTAGCTGAAAACATGAATGTCATGGAAACCAATGGTGTCATTAGTCCCTTGAAAAGGCCTCGGATTCCTTCCGTTCTGAGAATGGAAACACTCATCCTCCACATAGTTGGTGATGTCCCTGGCTTGTAATCCTTGCTGGACACTTGCATTCTTGTCTTTACCAAATCAAGAGGGTAGCCAATCACAGTTCCACTGATGCCTGCAGAGAGACTACCGTACCGTTCGTTACACCAGGATCAAGACAAACAAACAAAATTAGGCTCGGTACCGTACGTGTGGGGCACATGATTCATCTGTTTTGATCACGTACCCAGCCACGGTATTATCAAACACATTAGCCTTTCCATTTTGCCCTTGTTGAGACGGGGCACTGTCCTCCGCCGATGCTTGGCTCATGGTTCCATCGTAGTGTGTGGTGCTGGTCAACTGTTGCCTTGTTCTTCTTCTTTCTTCTGGTTGGAATTTGGAATGGTAGAGGTTGGTGGTTCCGCAAACTGCCGTGGCTTTCGTCAAGTTGGAAGACGTACACTGTACCGTACGGTACGCTTTGATACTGTACGGCTTTCAAAGATTTAATATCCTTGAATCCTGCTTTGAGTCCCTTCCGACGACGCAGTATGTGTGCACTCGGCATCCCACATGATCCCACACGTCTCCCAACAACCAACAACAAAACCCTTGACGGTTCTGGCTTTGTTGTTGTTGTTGTCTGTTGTTTCATAGTTACTCCTGCAAACAACTAATATGGACAACTTTTCTGCTAGCAGTGACAGTGGAGGGGAATCAGACACCTCCAATGGCAACCAAGACACAGCTACAACGACCAAGCAAGAGGAACTGGTAACCAAACTCCAGCTTCGATTGACAGCATCGCATCTTCCCAAAGTAGTAGGTGGTGGCGGCTTGAAGAAACTCGTGAGAAAGCGTCCCGATACCTTTGCCACTGTGGCCTCCATTGTTCGAAAGACTGGATCAGGGAGCAAGGGAACCAGAACCGTCAGTCCGTACCGCAGCAGTCAATATGGGGAAACTGAGTTTCAATCTTCAGAATTCAACTTTAATGGAAGCTCCCCAGAAAGCGACTACATGGTGGAGTGGGGATCCACAGAAGTGTGAGTAGTCACGAGGACCAGGCATTTTCTTTATGGAATGTAGTGTTAGTTTTCGTCTTTAGGTAGGTCTCACAAATACTTTCTTTGGAATGGCTCATCCCGCTGTCACATTGCAGGATCCAAAACAGTCGGTCTCCACAATGGATCGAAACGATACCCCTGAAGTACGAGTATGGATCAGAACTTTTCTTTTATGTACGGATATTGCAGGCAGATCCACTTGCTAGTAATAGTGAAGATAATGGGAGTAGGAGACCATCTAACGGTGGTGCACTAAGTCCATTGAGCCAGAGCTCCAGTGCCGACGATGCCTCTGTTGCCAGCCAATCATTTTATGGAACTCCCACAAACAAAAAGAATCGAATGGGGCATTGCTTTGGAACAGCTCTATTTGAAGTTGGTGATATTCTGGGGAGTCGAAACTATACCAAGGTTAAACGGCTCAAAGCTGGAGGATGGTACGTGTGAAGCACTGACATGCATGGTTGACTGTCATTCTTTGTTCTTATGCTTCAACAATCCACTACTTGTGTGTTGCCTCAGTGTCTATGCCCGCGTAGAACCTGTACAAGAACGAGATCAAAACAAGTTGCGATTCCGGTTTCAGTTTCAAGCGCTCAACCTCATGGTTGGCAACACTACGGTGAAGAGCAGATTGCTCGGTTCAGCTGAACCTACTACTGTTCTGGAAATTTCTCGCCCCCATGACTCTCCTTCTATGCATTCATGGTGAGCAGCAGTAACAACAACAGCAACGCAGACACTTCTGGATCATCGTGAATTGATTGAAACATGAACCCATTCTCACATCGACGTTCTTCTCTATATCTTTTTCGCAGGGTAACAGTCTTTCGCTCGCGCCCAGTCTATAACAGTTCCAATCCAAGTTGGGACCGAGGCGAAGTGGATTTAGATTCCATCTGTCGAAATGATGATCTGGTACGCATAGGACGTCCCTGGTCTCGTCTGTGTTGAAGGGTTGTGCTAACCTTCGGATTCTTTGTACTACTCCCCAGAGTAAGATTGTAAGGCTTTCCATCTACCGAATTCGAAGCGGAAATAAGCCACAACAACTCCTCGGTATGTGTGAAACAACACTATACAATATAATGGCAAACTGTGCTCAAAATGAAGACGGTGGAGAAGCGTGTTCCGAGAGAGATTTTTTTCTGCAACGGAACTATCGACAACTGCAACAGGTCGGGAGTCTTCGGGTCCATGCGGCATCCCTGGTGACATTGTCGGGTCGCGATGTTTCGAAACCCTTGGCTACAGCATCCCAAATCCTTCCCGTTTCGCCTCTGAGCGCTTCTTCATCGTCACCCATTGGGAGAACGAATTCCACGGACAGCACAACGACAGCAAATGGCGAAGATCCGTTCAACGTAGATTTGCGACAGCTATCGATGCGATTCAGCGCCACACAAAGCACTCCAACCACTAGTTTGAGCGAGTTCATGGACAGCGGAGGACAAATCGACTTTAGTGTTGCGATTGATTATACCAGTTCTAACGGTGAGAACCTTTGGTGCTTGTTCTACGGACTACTGCAAAAGCAACAACACCTCACCTTGCCATTCATTCTCTGGGAAAACTATAGGTAATCCTTTGGAACCAGGAACATTGCACTTTCAGAGCGAGGAAACATTCAACGACTATGAAGAAACCATCACTTGTATTGGGAATGCAATCGACAAGTACAGTAAATCCTCTGAATACAGTGTCTGGGGCTTTGGCGCCAAGTTTGGAGACGGAGTTGTAAGGCATTTGTTTCAATGTGGGCAAAGCCCAACTGTCAAGGGAGTTGATGGTATTCTTGATGCCTACAGGAGCGTGTTTCGCAGCGGTGGAATCACCATGAGCGGTCCAACCGTCTTTCTAAAGGCGATACAATCAGCTGCAGTGAGGGCTCGAAAATCAGTGAGTGTTCTGTGGCGGTATGCTTCCTTTTTGTATGCTTGTTCTCGCTTAGTTTTGCTCACATACTATCTATTTGCCTCCCACAGAAAATGGACAACACTGGCGGGCCCCTTCGATACTCTGTCCTGTTGATTGTCACGGATGGCATCATGGCCAACTTTGAGGAAACCAAACAAAAGTTGGCTGTATACTCTGAAGTTCCGTTATCTGTTGTGATTGTAGGGGTGGGAAGGTCCGATTTTCAAGCCATGTATCACTTGTGTGAATCGCCACAATCCACAGCAACCGCTCGAAAGAATACTACATTTGTCGAGTTTCGGCAGCACCAACACGATCCAAGGTCACTGGCGCAAGCAGCATTGCAAGAGATACCACGACAACTCTCCGACTATATGGTTTCAAACGGTCTTTCAATGCAATGATGTGTTGTCGCGACCTCCACGCAACAGCCACAGTGCCCCTTCATAGGCGCTGAAGCGACTTCCACTGACCAGGAATGCTCTCATGATGGAAGGGGAAACTCCAGAGTACAGTCCTCGAATGCCTTTTGTTTTCAAGAGCTCGTTTATAACTTGCAAGGATCCCTTCCTGTGTTCAGCTTGGAAGGATTGACCCTGCACACCGGCCCGAATACAGTCTAATGGAAAGCTAATAAACCAAGCAATCGACCCTGCTAGACCCCCTGAAAGTGGAATGGCCCACTTGTGTGTTGTTGTCGTATTTGTTGAGCCCTGGTGATTGTCAGTGTTACTGTTGGCCGTTCTAAAGAGCATTTCCCGAAACCCTTCGTAGACGAAGAAATAGGTTCCAAGAAACACTCCTTCGCGAGTTGTGTTAACCATGTGTCCTGTATAGATAATCTGTGGTCCATGAAGTTGCACCAGTGTTCTCATGCAATGCAGCGATCCCTGGAATTGTTTGGATCGGACGTTGTCCACTTGCATTTGTGTCTGTTCAAGATAAAAAGAAGGGTGAGCAAGTGCATGTCACCCATTCTACTTGCTCCAGCATCTAGTCAGTCTCACCTTGATTACGTTTTCCACGGTCGAGATGGCACTTGCCAGAGGCCCAATCAAAATTCCAGAGAGTCCATTCCGAATGTCCCAGCCATTGCTTGCCTCAAACACATTTTGTCGAAAATACGAGTAGGATGTAAAGTTGATGGTGTTGAGTGCTGACAGCGAGAGAAGTGGTGGTACAAGTCCTCTGTAGAGAGCAAAGATTCCTTCCTTTTGGACAATGGACCGAGCCATGGATGTGATGGTGTGACCTCCACTGGCCGTCTGCATCCTCGTCTTGATGGTATCGAGGGGAAACCCAATGACAGTACCCACTACGCCTGCCGAAAGCCCTGTGATGTGATTGAGGTAAATAGATGAGATTACCAACATACAACAGCCCTACAATATTCAACTCGTTCGTCTTACACGCAACGTAACGTACCTCCCACTGCTTCTTCGGCAAAAAAGGATTTTCCCTTTGTCATCTTGGTTGCTCGGTGGTGGCTGCAGAGCTCACACTTATCGACAAGACAAGAATCTTGATCAGTGGCTGGCCCAGTCTATTCTATCAGTGGTTTAAATAACCTTCAGAGCGACTCCAAACCACAGTCGCACCGGTTGAATGGGAGCTGCTTCTCCTGGAGGTCTGAACAACCGCGACATTGTTCCATCTCCTGGCTTTTTGGATCATGGTCGAATTGCTTTGGCACTTGGAACGGTGACGTAGTATTAGTCGTGTTCGTGAAAGAAAGGGCTCGAGTTTCACCGTCTTCAATCCCATCGACAACGATGATCCCACTGTGGATTGTGGAACATACCGGGTAAGAGGTGAAGGAGAACATCAGGATGTGTACCTACGGGAGCTACCGATTTGCTGGCGCCGCGATGTCTACGGTTGTATGAAGGTCACCACAAGTTTACGGTAGCTAGGGGCTTGGCTCATGAGAAGGTCAACAGGTGTTCGCCTGCCCGTCGGGCCAAGGTCTCAGGCCCAGCTGATGCCAAGACCGACACATCCAACAGCTCATCCAACAGCTTGATGCAACACACCAAATTGTCGTTGGTCTGTTGTTGCCATCAACCCTTGCAACTTGCAACACTTGCACAGCCCCTTTGACAGCAGCCCCATCAGGCTCGATGCATGAACGAACCCCAATCCTTCCGAGTAAGGCTGAAAAAGGGCAGTGGTCACGTTCTTCTTTTCATCCCACAGGCATAAATAGAACTTGAAGTAGCGAGGCGAGATCCGAACTTGACACCACCTTGATACGAATGTTCTCTTCCAAGACAAAAGAAAACGAAGACAAAAGAAAACGAACGTGATGCGAGCTCTTCTCCTGCAACTCCGCTCGGCATGTGCTGAGATTGATTGAATCATTCGATGATTCCTTCACCAGTGTCAATCGATTGATGCCTCGGCATTGTTGGCACTGGCCAGCATTGGGCCTTGGCTTGATTTCAATCTCATAAACTACATACTCAACGATCACAAAAATCGCAACAGAAAACATTGTCATAACAACAGCTTCTCTTTAATACTGTATTGCTCTCCCTCCATGGTTTCAACGATACCAACAACATTGAAAGTTCTTCTCTTTTCCGCCCTTCTACTTCCAATGGCCCATGGCGAGGGCCTCCGACGCAGTAATAAGCCTTTGGATGTTGATTACCAAGCCGTTCCATCGTGCTTTGAGGGCTTCGAGATTCCAAGCAATGAACCCCCACCAGAAACGTGGTGCATGTTGAATCTCTCCTTTCGATTCTTTTTGCGGTGTATGGACCAGAACATCAACTTCAGAATGGTCCAAGAGGGGTACATGAATGATGACGAAAAAGACTTTGTCATGGAGTGTCTCGACCTGTGCTACATTGACCCAGAGACAACAGATGATACCCAGGTTAATCCATTGAGTACCTTGTTGGATTATGCTGCTCGAAAACTGAGCCATTCCGTACCTGCACTTGGAGAGGTATCCTTGCTAACGTAAAGCAACCAATCTACCGCAAACAGAACGGCTCGGGATAGATACGGCCGATGGGCGGTTGGCCGCATTCGATAAATCCAGCTGTTCCTTGGACAAGCTGGTCCAAAACTTGCCTCTTTGAGCATCTGCAGGTAGACTTTGTAGAAAAATCTCCCGGCAAACTGGAAATCCACGGTCACTCGTGCACCTGAGGCTGCCTTCCTGTTTCGTATGGCGCACGCCCTCCCTCAGACTTACAAGACGGTGATACCGGCACATTCACATGCGGTTACACGTCCAGAGCACAATGAAACCGCCATCATGAATGTCCGTCAGAGACTGCCAGCATCTACGGCGTAATTGTGCCGTTCCACCGGACATGGCCATTTGAATCCATCTGTGTGCTGCGGCAATCATGAGCTCCAGTGAGATGTCATATCCCAGTATACATCAGGATCAAAGTTTTCTTTGAATGATACAGCTTTGCACTGCAGGAGACGTGGGGCTTCGATCTCGTGATTGCAAGGCAAAAGTAAGAAGTCTGCGAAAGTCCTGGTGGGAGCTGACAATTCTTTTAACTCATAAACATACTAGTAAACAGAAAAACATAAGCAGCACAAACATCATCAACGAATTCCGGTACAAAACTGATACACTTTATACACTACATGTACGACTGTACATTGGAAACCCAGCCTGCGACCACACGGACCAGAAGAAGAGGTATTAAAGTTGAATGAATGTCCACCAGCTTCAACGGCTTGAAGGATTATTACAGTCCTGCCTTGCGTTGGATGTCTGAAACTTGGCGCACCCTCCATGTTGGCGATGTTCCGATTTTTCATTTTGTCGAGGGCAGAGGCGCCGTTGGTGTGTGCTACGGCCGGCCTCATTCAAGTTGGTGTTGGTATCAATCATCCGTTTCTTGCATGTGCTGTTTGTTTGAACGAAGGTATCGGGATAAACTTGAGTTGGTCTATCATCGAAGTTTTCGTCGGAATTCCGACCGCTATCCACAACCTAGAGTCTAGCCAGGCCGTCTAATAAAAAAGGGTCGTGGAACTCCGTAACACAATACTACTATGCATCGCTACCACCGACCAAAGATACGAATGAGCTGCTTCACGCTCTATCTTTGCTTGTTGCTGGGTCGCCTGTATGTCGCAACCGGGTACATCAGCCCAGTTCCTGTGGACGGCGACGCCGATGGAGATGTCCGATGCATTGGACTACAAGCTGCCTTTGACAAGCTCGACAGTATACAGACAGCCGATCTCGATCGGATACAAAACCCCCCTGGCAATCGCAATTTCGATATCCGACACGTACAGAGAATCACAAGAGCCGATGGAAGTACCTTTGCTGACCGAGTTCGGCTCATTGAACGGATTATGGGCATCAGAATCCGCGGCGCTGATGTTGTGGTCAACTTCAAGGGTTGCCCGAGTGGGATCTGTCCAAGAGAGGTTAAGAGTCTTTCTGGGAAAACTTTTCGAGACATCAACGTTACTAAGGGGTATACCATAGGCGATACTGCAGTCGCGGATGCCAGAGAAAAGCTAGCTCGTGTCTTTGGCGCCGACGATGCTGGAATCGGGGAGTTGTCTCTCGAGATTTTTGCCGCATCGAATGGAGACTATCTCGCTTTCTTCACGGACGTTCTGGTGGAACAAGATGACTACATGCGCTACTTCAGCGTTGTGATGGATGCTCACACTCTAGGAATCCTTTCGATATGTAACCTGGTCGGCCCATTTTCCGAGGAAATCGAGCGAAGTGTTGATGTCGACAGCCCAGCCGCGCCCAAGGGCAAAAAGAAATCATCATCCAGAGGATCGTCCAACGGAGGCTCCTCGCGACATCGCAATCTCAAGAAAAGGGTTGGTTCAAACAGGTTGCCAACTTATCTCCGAGATTTGAAGGAAGACGAAGCCAAAGAAAGTGTCTTGATTAGTACCAGTGGCATCCGTTGCGGCAGCTGTGCACCAGACTCAAAAGATGTCACTTGGAGCAGCAACTACACTAGTTGCCAAATCAATTCGCTTTATCTGAATGATACGGGTAGAGAAACAACCTGCTTGATCGGAACCAATTCTTTGGGTGAAACTGTCCTGGGAGCGGGGCCTGTGCCCGAGTTGCATTGGGAGGGGACTCAGGATTGCAAATCGACAACAAAGGAATGCCAAACCACAATCTTGCCCGAATGCAGTGACGCTATCAGTGATGTTCAATATGGAGCCATAAAGACCCTGACATACTTTCAAGATTATCTTGGAGTCATGGGTGGATTGCAAGAGAGTGCCGACGATGCCGTGCCAATCAAGGCGAACGTGCACTACAACAAGAGGTATTGCAATGCGTTTTATCGATATAGCGCCAACACTGTGTTCTTTGGAGATTGCGATTGCAGTTACTGGACGCCTTTGACTTCCATCGATATCATTGCGCACGAGGTACAGTTTCTAGATTGAATCATTCTGATGTTTTTTGTTTGTTTGTCGCAGAGTCTCACCTTCACTTGTCGTGCTGTCACGCATATGCTGCACTAGATGTCACATGGAATCACCCGCCATAGCAGCGCTCTAGAATACCAATATCAATCTGGGGGGATGAACGAAGCCTTTTCTGATATTGTTGCCGTCGTAGTTGAAACGCTTGCTGATGACAGCTTTGATATCCCTGACTTTGACATTGGAGAGATGTTGGGAGCAAACAAGCTACGAAACATGGAAAGGCCGCGTGAAACCAGCTCCATAGCCTCTGTTTGTGAATACCAGAGCAACATGGATGTGCACCATGCGAGTGGACCCCTCAACAAAGCGTACGTGAACTCGGTTAAGGCTTGTACTCAAAATGGATGCAGCGACGAGGCGGGCTGTAAAATTCTTCTTGGAACTATCTTCATGTACGCCAACATCCAGAGCCTAACAACATACAGCGGATACTTGGATGGTGCCACTGCAACATGCAGCATTGTCGACGAATACTATGCATCAAAGTCACCAGAAACATCCTGTGAAGAGGCTTCCATTGTCACGTTCATTAGGCAAGGGTGGTCGACAGTGGACGTGGCAGTCAACGAAAACTGTGAATCAGAAACATGTTGCACCGAAGCATGTCCTGCGATACAGTCAGCCCCGCAAGGGCCAACATCGAGTCCAACGAAAGAACCCACGCGATCACCTACGGCTCCTCAGCCCACGCCTATGCCTACGGTTTCCTCTACGCCTCCTCCGACGACGCCTCCTCCGACGGCGCCTCCTGTTGCTGCTGAAGAGGCGGACAGCCCCTTACTGAAAATCCTCCAATTTATATCGGGTGTGCTGAATCTCTTCAACAGTCTCTTCGGAGCAGAGCCCGAGGGGACAGTTTGATTTGATTTCATTTCATCGCTACTGGTAGATTGCTGCGCTGTTGCCCTGTTGAAGCGGCATTGCAATCGCTTATTACTTGATAGTACTCGTAAAGTACTACAATATTTCTTATATAGTGGGGACCGAGGTCGTCGATAGTAAGTAACGCCTCCTTGACACCCGGTATGAAAAGATCAGAACAACTATGTACGTCCAAGAGCAAGCACTTTGTACCTGAATGTACCAGCTAGACGCTAAGGTTGCCTTAGTTGTATGTACAGTTTTAGTTTTGTTCTAAAAGTTGCTTCAGCCCCATCACCATCATGTACGGAGTGGAACTCGGCGTTCCTTGACGCCCACGATGCTACACAACTGCCGTACAGTACCTGGTACCGGAACCGCTACCGGTACAGTACAGCGACCAATTATTGGTACATGCAAAGAGCCCATTACCTACATTTTAGTTTAGTAGTTGAGCAACTATGCTCAGGTGTTTAGTTAGTCTGGATTGGAGTTTCCCCGTGTGCAAGCGATATGGAGAGTTTCTCAGCTCTTTGCGTAACCCATCGTTCGCTTGTAAGTAAGTTTCTCAGCCGCAGTGACTCTGTCTCTTGACCAGTTGCCCGAACTTGTTCGCTTCACGTATCGGGACCTCTTATTGTTGAAAATCGCTTGCAAGTCGCAAGTCTTGACTTCTGGAAAGATCTCATCAGGGTCGATGCGTTCATCTCCCGACGCGAACTGTCTTTCGAGAGCTGGAAGCAGGTTGGCTTTCTGTGCCCAGTCAGGGACCTGCCGGTTGAAAAACCATGGAGGTTAGTTGCAATAAAATGGAGAAACGCAGTATTGCATCTCGGCTACTCGTGCATGCTTACCTTCTTTCGTGGCTCCCGTGACTCGTCTTCGCTCTCGCTCTCCTCATCGCTCTCACTGTCCTCCCGATCTGAGATCTCGTATGTATCCAAGGGGGAGAGCGCTTGCGAGTGCAACTCGGCAGTCTCGTTTGCCTTCGACGAAGCACCAGGGGTTTTCGCATCTTGGGTTTCTTGTATATCGGTTTGCTGTGAATGTGTCACCTTCATCGGTACCGGTACCGTCGAAACACTACCGGTCTTAGCAGCAGATGCCTTTGCACTATTGTCAGCTTCAGTGTCGTTCTCTTCCACCTGCTTGCCAACTCCGTTGCTTTGCTTGGGCTCATCATTCGATGCCTTGACCTTTGCTGCGAATGTTGTGACAACCGAGCCACTCACCTGGCTACTCGTCTCTTTCAAGGGCTTGTTCTCTGTGCTGGTTTTCGTCTGGTTTCCCACAGATTGCGAGCTAGATTCATTGATTGGTTGGAGCCCGGATGTGGCAGACGCTCCGAGATTACGAGCTGCCTTGGCGCGCATTTGAGCAGTCAGAAGTTTTCGTTTGGTTTCTTTGTCATCTGCTTCTCCACCAGTTGTTTGGGATTTGATCGACGGCAATGTGCTCACATATGCCTTTGCTGCATATGCTGAGGGCTGCGCAACCTTGTTCGACTACAAACGAGAACTTGAAAGTTAGGCAACGACAATGAAGAGATTCGTCGAAATCATAAAGCAGCATACACACGTACCTTTTCCCGCATTTCTGCGATTCGAGCCTTTCTCGCCTCAGAGCTCGATGCACCTGCTGCAAGTCGACTAGGCTTAGTTGCGCTGGTGCTTGTGCTACCAACAGCGGAGGCCAATCCCATACCAGGGCGACGAAGTGAGTTGGCGGTGATTGGCTTGCTCGAAGTCTTTGGTTTTGCTTGACTCATTGGTTGGAAAACCTCCTTCTGTTTCTGTGTTGGCGGTGCTGTAGCCTTGCTGTCAGTTACTGGATGCAGTGTTTTGTTTTGCAACCAAGGGAGCTTTCCAGGGGTTGTTGTCGGCTTTGGCTTTGCTGGCGTCGACTTGGCAGTGAGCATCTGAATGGCTGCCTGTACGCGTCTTTTCATTGGCGATTTCTCTTGCGTTTTGGAATCTTCATCCTGCTTCTGATCTCCGTTCATGTCTGACTTGCAATCGGCACCATGAAGTTTCGTATCCGCTGTTACATTTCGTTCTGCATCTCGCTCAACTGACATATTGCTTCGATCTGAATCTAGACTTGATTTCATGGATGTCTCTTGGCTCAACTTTCGACTGGACATGGATGCAACGCTGCGTTTCAGATTTGCCGCCTCCTGTTCGTTGTCCTGGAATGTATTCTTTGGCTCTGAGGACAAGGTATCTTTGGAATGGTTGTTCGACGGCTTAATTTTTGGCGCAGTCTTGAGGATCCCAGTTTCGCTCGAGGAAGCGTGGGCGACCGCTTGCTCCTTGGCGTAAGGCACTGTGGTTGTAGCTTTTGAGAGAGATGAGCTATCAGTGATTGATTTTGACTTAACAGGCGGAGACGAGGAGGAACTCGAGCAGTCCATCATCGACTTTCGGGAACTATCCATGGACGAGTCCTCTTTAGTGGGCTCAACCACCATAACATCAGAGTTCTCGACCTGTTGCTCTGTTTCGCGTTCATCCGGTACGGTTGGCTTGGTGGCTTCATTTACCTTCGTATCTATATCTTGAAATGTCGTCTTGGTTGCTTTCTGCTTTGAGGCAACAGCCTTCTTCTCCTGGTCATGCTTCGTTGGATGTTGCTCCCGAGCATCAAACGATGGTTCGAACACGACAACTTCTACAGAGTCAGAGTCCGGAAACCCATCATCCGCCTGAGACGCTGGAGGATCTTTCTTCTTGACTGCGGATTGGGTGGTTGTTTCAGTGTCAACATGATTGCTGTCGTTTGGTTGTTTCGCTTTGGATGGGCTCACCATGTTCTCGACACTGGAGTATGCCTCCAGAAGACGTTGTTGCAAGTCTTTCTTCAGCCCCTTGGTTTCTCTTCCTTTTGACTTGAGTTCCTTTCGTAGATCTACTACTCTCAATCCGTTGACTCTTCGCTTGACAGCGGAAGGTGGAGGCTTAGTGGGCACACGTATCGCAGCGTCTTGGTTTGGCGAGTTTTCCTTGTCGGGGATTGGAGAGAGTGGGGCCCCATTCTCCTTTTTGAATCCAATCGTCTTGGCTTTCTTTGCATTAGCCTCTTGAATCGATACGCCTGTGCCTTCGACAACTTTTCGTTTCGCTGACTGCACGAAGAACGATAACAAACGAAATATAATTTGAGCATTCGTCAAGCCGACAAAACGAGAACCACAGCCAGTTACACGAGTGTCATCGTTCAACGAAAGCCGCACTTACCGTAATTGCTTCATCAAGCCAGTTACTTGTCGACTCCATCTGCTCTTGGAGAGTGAAGATGGATCCATTTCTTTTGGTGTTTGTCGTAGCGATCACTTCATTTACCAGCGCCGGAGCCGTCGTCAGTTTGTTCCTGTACGCCATGGTTCTTTGTCAACTCCAGAGCCCTCGTCCTTCCAGTACGTCCACACCGTGTATCCTATCTTTCTTCACTTCACCTTGTGTCGTAGGATGTTCTCTATCCACTCCGAATGAACAGCAACCCGTCGTGATGATGTTGTTGGTTTGGCTTTCGAGGAAAATGTGGAAGGGTTCCAGCCTGCCAGCCTGGTAACGGCTCTTTCCGCGAATTACTTTTCTTACCGGCTTCTTTCTTTCCCGCTTAAAAGGTCAGTCGCTTAGGGTTGAGGGCAAGACTGAGTCGAGTCACTCCTCACTCCCGCTTTTCCTGAAGCGAAAGCATGCAGCTGACGATGACAAGGTGACGGACGAGAGAAGGGATCATCAATTAATAAGTCCAAGCTTCCCGCACAATCAATAGCTATCAGTATCCACATCCATTGATCAACTACACAGCAGGATTCATCCAGAGAGAAGCTATTATCAACGCAAAAATGAATTCTGACGATGATGTAGTGATTGTGTCGGCCCTAAGGACACCAATGTGCCGATCTCGGAAGGGGGCTCTGGCCAAGGTCTTCCCTCATACTCTTCTGCAGACAGTGTTGGAAGCCACTGTTTCGAGGACGAACAATAAGCTGTCGGCGAATGAGATTGAGGATATTTGCGTTGGGAACGTCTTGATGCCTCCTTCCGGCTTTGCGGCAATGAGAATGGCTCAAATCACAGCTGGCATTCCGGAAACTGTATCTCTTCACTCGGTCAACCGTCAGTGTGCCTCTGGGTTAGAGGCCGTCGCTCAGATTGCTAGCGCCATTGCAACGAAGCAAATTGATATTGGTGTTGGAGCCGGGGTGGAGAGTATGTCTACCTACCCCATGAACAAGATGAAGCCACCGGAAATGGATTGGTCAGCAGTGCAAGACAACACCACTGCGATGGACTGCCTCGTTCCCATGGGTATCACTTCCGAAAATGTGGTCAAGAAATACGGCCTCAGTCGCCGTCCTTTGGACGAGTTTTCCGCTTTGTCTCATCAAAAGGCAGCCCGCGCCCAGCAGACTGGAAAATTCAATGCCGAAATTGTACCCGTGGGATCCGTCTCCAAGGACGATGGAATTCGCCCAGGAACAACCGTGGAACGCTTGAGCAAGCTGAAACCGGTGTTTGACGAGAATGGAGTCACCACGGCTGGAAACTCCTCACAGACCACCGACGGCGCCGCAGCGGTTCTGCTGACGACACGCAAGGAGGCCAAGAGTCGAGGTCTTCCCATTCTTGGAATTTGGAGGGGATACGCAACAAAAGGAGTCCCCCCTCGTATCATGGGGGTTGGCCCCGCTTATGCCATTCCTGCTGTGTTAGAAAAGACAGGTCTCTCTGTGGATGACATTGATGTGTTTGAAATCAACGAGGCGTTTGCGTCCCAAGCTACTTGGAGTATTGAAAAATTGGGTATCCCGGCGGAGAAGGTAAACCCCAATGGAGGAGCCATTGCTCTGGGCCACCCGCTTGGCTGCACTGGAGCTCGTATGGTGGCAACATTGCTCCATGAAATGCACCGAAGCAAGAAGCGTTTTGGTGTCATCTCAATGTGCATAGGAACTGGAATGGGAGCTGCAGCCGTTTTGGAAGTGGAGCCATCGTCTCGGCTTTGAGCAGGAGTGAACAATGCCAGTTGAGTTTTGTTTGATACCGAACGAACAAATTGTAGTTAAGCTGTCGTAGACCTATGCTATCTAACAGCTAGCAAAAACCAGCGAAGTTGCATTTTCCTGCCTCGAGGAAATGACGAAAGCCCAAGAAGCGGGGAGTCGCCGGTGTGATCATGTACTAGTACATGTATGACGTCTCCTCACTTTGGAGCTGGCAGTCAGGTCCGAGAAAACAACATAGCTGGCAATAAACCAGTTTCTGCCAGAAAGCGCCTCAAAAAAGGAAGGCTGTGTACGTAATGCTTATTGGATTCCCGAGCAGATTCTAAGAAGTTGCAGTCTATAGTAGCTTTCCACTGGACTGCGCTCTAATCAGCCACTTCAGCCACTTCAGTGTTTACCGGTAGGTCTAGATGGGCCAGTCTGTGTGGGTGCAGAAGAGCTTAGTGCTGTGGCACACTCCACTCACCCACTTCTTGTATTGCATGTGCTACGACGTCAAAGCCAAAACACGCACAACCGGGCTGCAACCATGGAGTCATCAACTTGCCCGCAGCTCTGCTTTCCTGAGCTGCTCCCCTCAGGTAGACATCCCAAGCTTTGATTGCAACGAAATCGAAGTGAGGCATCGCCTTCTAGGACAAGGTGCATTCTCTCAGGTTTTTCCAGGAACTAGAGTTAATTTGAACCCAGACAACAAACATTCATCCCAATCAGGTTCCACGGTGCTATTTTGCCAAACAAATAGTGGGACACTCCCATCATGCCCTAAAGCATCTATGAGGAGACTTAGTAGGAGTCAAAGATGGCTTTGAGAGTTCTGCTATTGACTTATGCATTGAAGTCTAGCTCTTGACTCGCCTAAACCATCCAAACATGATCAAACGCCAGGGACTTGCACGAGGGTGGACACCTGCATTTGGTGAGTGTCATGATGGATTCTTCATCATTACGGATCGAGTAGATCTCGACCGATACCCCTAGTGTTGTCAAGTGAGCATTTCAAGACGGATCAACTACACGTCCCTGGTTGCGGATGCAATGAGCTACCTCCACAACCAATGCATCACCTTCAGGTAAGAGCATTGCAGTAGATGAGATGGACCAAACTGAACTGACTGTCTACTATGGAATGGATACTAAGTGAAACACGTCCTTCGCTGTATACTTTATAGGGAACTTGAAACCCTGGAATGTTGCCTTCAAAGGTAGTACGTTACCTCCCTCCCGGACGAAGTTTTATGTGCCATGCTGACAACAACCTCGGTTCCTGAACAACCTCTGCCGGCATGCAGGTCCCATCCATCAATCCATGGCACCTATGCATAGCGACAAACGGGGCGCAGTCCGCTCCACTTTTCAGCGCCGACATTACCACTTTCACATCGCCACATCAACCCTGCAACACAGCTCCGCCGTTTCGTCTCCAACTCAACCACATTCCTCTCTGATCATTCCCACCCTTACGCCAATCGTATGTCCGCACAAGCTCGACTTGATGGAAAATCTTGGGTCATGACTTGAGTTTTTGAGATTTGACACAAGTCAGTACTCAAGTCAGTATCAAGTCATGACTCAAGATTTTGCTTTTTGCCCTTTGACTTGAGTCATTGCCTTTTTGCCAAGTCGCATGTTCAAATCAAGGCAAAATCTAATTTTCGTTTTACTAATTTTGAAATACGTCAAAAAAGCACGAAATCGACGACCCAGAAAAAGCACCAAATCCGTGACAGAGTAGAAGTGGTACCATGCTACCGTGTGGACAGGAGGCATTCTCTTGAGTGCTGACTTGAGTACTGACTTGAGTCAAATCTCAAAAACTCAAGTCATGACCCAAGATTTCAACCCTTGTGTGGACATTAGAATGGTCCGAGGGTGACGGTGGAGGCCGCTAGGCCACGACAGGGATGGTGGTCCATAAGTGAAGCACTCTGACCACCACTGCATCTAGCTAGCACCTCCAGCAAATGCCACGAAGCAGCAGAAGACCACTCTAGCTAGAGAGTATTTCAGCTAATAGTGTTATGGGTGGTAGAGTAAGCTGCTAGTATTGGCTACCGTACCGGTACAGTACCGGTAGCTGATGAGGGGAGCCGATGAGGGCAAAAAAATAGATGACTGATCGCGATCCAACCGAGGAATTAAAGGTTAGGCTCTTTTGAAAGATGACGTGGATGATCAAAAGTGGATTTATTATTGTACTATTAATATAATAAGTCTTATACACTATCAGTTTGTTCTGATGCAGGTAGTCCGTACCAGCATGGACACCGTAGATACTTGAAGGAATTTCTCACGACCCCCACTTACTTATGATACAGCCCTTCAACCGAGTTTTTCTTTCAACTACTAGGACCGTACGCGTACCGCTACGAGTAATAATTTCCCGGTACGACTGTACCAGTACTGTACCGGTACCGGTACAATCGTGCTGACGCATGGGCGCACTGAGATCTTGGTTGATTGATTATTAAAAAAAAAGAACAATAATTGTGAGTACGAAAGCACTACCAGGTACCGGTACTAGTATTCAATAGTACGCGGTTTTCAACAATTTGGCTATTAATAATAGAGGTTGAAGGTTGAGAAGGTGCGTTCGAGGAAAGGCGTTGACATTATTTTGATCTGATCCCACGGCGGTACTGTATCTATCGGTACATCTACCGGTGTACAGTCCGAAAAAGAGGGAAGAAAACGAAGAACTCCAGTGGTGGCAGAAAACATTAAAGCCCTTTTCGCCCAGAACTTTAAATAAATCGTATTCGATCTATTGCGAGTGACGAGCTATTATTAATTATTAATAACAGTAGCGGCTTGGATACCGGTACGACTGTACGTACCGTATACCGTACCGATAGCTGCTTGGATCTTGGATCGATTTCGAGCCGCGAGTGATTAGTCAAGTTTTGGCTTTTCAAAAGGTAAATTTCGTTCTCCATTAATTCTATGAATACTGGTTGTCCCGTAAGTACATTCAAATGAGAACACTTTCTTCGTAATACATGTACAGAGTTGATGAGAACCGGGTCTCTTTTCCCTCTTAAGTAGGTTTTTTACAAGCAAGGTGCGAGTATTCCCATTTTTCTCTGAACTTCATTAATTCTATGAATACTGGTTGTCCCAAATGAGAACCGGGTCTCTCTATCCTTTAAATCAGATGCGAACCCTTGTCTGAGCCGAAGAAGAAGAACTATTATTCTTTCTCGAAGTGGGATTAGTCTTAATCACCTCTGCGTTGAAAAAATTGGATTTAGAGAAGTTAAGTCGTCAAGGCCTTGGTGGATTTATGTTTCCTCATGTTCTTCGCAGCAACGCGAACCACCTGGCTTCAACCGATCAGTGTCTTTTCACCACCATTGATGATGGTTGGAAGTTAGAGCCGCGGAAATCAGTAAAGCCTTCTTCAAGCATCCACCCACATCTCCACTCCCGACTCCGACATCGATATCAGACATTGCTTCCGCTGTCTGCATGTATGTTTTAGCTACTAGCTAGCTAGTACTGTACGGTAGCCTGCTGACAGCTTTGTTGTTGCGGGAGCTGGGACCTGAGCAAGCATTGCCGGAAGCGACCTCGTCGACCAATAGAACATTCGAGCGAGCTATCGGTATTTTTCGTATTTCATACATGAGCGCATAAATCCAGTACTTCATAACTCTGGATCGGTGTTGATACAACACAACCACCAAGGTTTGCAAGTTTGCACCTCCTCAAACCTCTCTACCTCCGATCGAACTATCATCTAAAATGGGTTTGTTGCGAACAAATACCGGTAGCCCTCTGTTTCGACGAAAGACCACCATGGACGTGTCTGCCATTGAAGCCGAGGTTGACGGCGTGGTTCAACAATCGCCCTTTTTGTTGGCCGCAGAGACTGACGAAGAAGAGCCTCCAAGCATCAGCCCAGCCATCTTCCAACGCAAAGAAGTGAAAATAGGGGCCTTGCTGGGTTCAGGCAGCTTCTCTAAGGTCCATGAAGTCGTTGGCTACAAGCTGGCTGGAAGCAAAAAAAAGCAACCCTCGTCACAATCATCCCAATGGTACGCTTCGTTGGTCCCTTCCTCGCTCTCGTCCGATGTCGGTGTTGTTCCTACTTTGGAAGACACCAGTCCACAAGATCGAGACCGTACCGAACAACGTCGCTTGGCGCTCTCCGAGTCAACGCTTGACTGTGGAGGCAAAAGTCGCTATGCGATCAAGTTCATCAAGAAGGAACTCTCCAAGAACCCCCGGGCTTTTAACAGCGCCGCTGCTGATCTGATTCTAGAAGCCAAGTACATGGCAGCACTGGACCATCCCAACATCCTCAAGTTGAGAGGTTTGGCCACTGGTGGCAGTGCTGGCTTTCTGCGAGGCCATGACGGATTCTTTGTCATTGTGGATCGGCTCCAAGAGACGCTCGCGGATCGTATGCTTTGTTGGGAGGACGAGAATCCCCTCAACGACACGCGTCGTTGGAGACAAGGAAAGCTCCCCAAAGACAAGCTGCTACCGCTCAAGATGGACTATGCTTATCAGATTGCGGATGCACTTGCGTATCTGCACAAGCGCCGAATCCTTTTTCGCGATTTGAAGCCAATGTAAGTTCTCGCTTCGTGGAGAAGGAAATCAAGTTTTAAAACGACTCAACTCCACCCCCACCACTTTTTTCAAATGCAGGAACTGTGGCTTCAACTCCCGTGAAGGGCACACCGTTCAGTTGTTTGACTTTGGGCTCTGTCGAGAGTTGCCTTCCGACTCGGATAGCGATTTTGAAGACAACGAACACTTTCACATGTCCGGTGCCGGCACGTACTGCTACATGGCCCCAGAGATCTTCAACTCCAAGCGATATAACCTCAAGGCTGATGTCTTTTCGTGGTCTATTGTTTTTCATGAAATGATTGCCCAGAGGCGGTCGTTTGACCATTATTCAGAGTCGGAGCACAAGGAGTTTGTCTGTGAAGTTGGACAACGACCCTCGTTGACCGAGTACAACCTCCCCGAATCTCTCCAAACGCTACTATCCCAGGCGTGGGAACAAGACCCAGCGCAGCGGTTGACCATGCAAGAAGTATGTCGTCAACTAATGCCCCTTGTGCGCAGCTCCGCAAACCCAGACAGTGACGAAAGCGAGCAATCGACCACGGGGTCAGGTGTGAAACCAGGACTGATTTTGAGTCAATCTTAGCTTGTCTACCACTGCTGGCTGCCCCTCCTTTATAATATTATATACTTGTATGCTACCAACTTTTACACACAAACGCATTGAACGACACCAGTTGTCCTTACAGCTATGCATAGCTAGCTAGTTTGGTGTACATGCTCCCAAGGGGTCGGTGACTTTCAAAGTTCGTGACATGTGCATGATGTACCGTACGCGAACAGCAGAAGTTGCGTATGATGCACAGGCAGAACTCCGACCTCTATGTTTATCAGATTGCTGATGCACTTGCCTATCTGCACAAGCATCGAGTTCTGAACCCAACAATATCGGCTTCCACTCCCGTGAAGGACACACGGTTCAGTTGTTTGACTTTGGGCTCTGTCGAGAGTTGCCTTCCGACTCAGATAGCGATTTTGAAGACAACGAACACTTTCACATGTCCTGTGCCGGTACGTACTGCTACATGGCCCCAGAGATCTTCAACTCCAAGCGATATAACCTCAAGGCTGATGTCTTTTCATGGTCTATTGTTTTTCATGAAACGATTGCCCCGAGGCGGTCGTTTGACCATTATTCAGAGTCGGAGCACAAGGAGTTTGTCTGTGAAGTTGGACAATGACCCTCGTTGACCGGGTACAACCTCCCTGAATCTCTCCAAACGCTACTATCCCAGGCGTGGGAACAAGACGCAGCGCAGCAGTTGGCCATGCAAGAAGTATGTTGTCAACTAAAGCCCCTTGTGCCCGGTTCCGCAAACCCAGTGACGAAAGCGAGCAGTCGACCACGGGGTTGGGTGTGAAACCAGGACTGATTTTGAGTCAATCTTAGCTTGCGTTTGATGCCCCTCCTTTATAATAATATACTTGTTATGCTACCAACTAGTATTTACACACAAATGCATTCAACGACGCCAGCTGACCTTACTTGTACAATGACATGCATACAGCTACCGGTACCGTACTACCTAGCTAGTTGTATGACCATACTTGCCCCCAAGTGACTCGTTGGCTTTCAAAGCTCGTTCTTGATTACTCCAAAGGCACCATACAAAACTTTATGGGCGGATCAGAGGAGCGAGCACCATGCATGCATGACAACGGGGGCAGCACAAAGGATACCATACCGGTACCTTCGGCTGCTGGTCCATCGCGAACGCCCGTGGGCTTTGGCGCAAGATTCGGTTCATCAACAATGTAGCGAGGTCGGCCAGGAAACCATGCTCTGTCTCACAACAACCACTTCAAAGCGACTAAAAGTGAGCAAAATATGCTCCATATTCACAAAAAGGAGGAGGTTAGAAATGCCATGGTTGTGAAAACTTGCATGCTTGTCATATGGAGCCAAGAGCCAAGACCTCCATCCACTCAATAATGGCCGCTACCTAGCCAGCCACAGCCAATTTTGCGGTTGCCTCGCCTGACGTTGCAGCAAAGTTTTTACGGGATGTCTATCAAAGCTTATTTTGTGCAGTAATTGACTAAATTTGGAGCAAATTTGAGCGAAAGATCCGAAACTGCATCCACAAATCCACAACTTTTGCCTTCAAGGCTTATTGAAGAAGCTTCAAAACAACAGATCCATACAAAGGCATTGTTCAAGATGAAGCTTTTCGGTTGCACCAACTTGATCACCTTGCTGGTTTGCCTCACTTTGAGGGTGATCTCTGCGAAGAAAAATGCAGCCACTACGTTCTGGAATAGGATGAGTGAGGGCGAAATTGAGATGAAGGAGAACAACAGCAGGCAGCTTTCATCATCTGATCAGACGAACAAGCAACGAAGGTTGAATACAGTGGTTCACACTGGCACCGTCGTTATTGACTATGCGTTTTTCAATGGGGAAGAGGTTTATACCCCCCTTGGCAGCGAGAGGCAAGGTATCGAAAGAATCACCCAAGCCTTTTATCGCCAAGTCTTTGCAGCTGCCTTCCCACCGCCATACTCCAACGCATTTGTAACTTATACCCAGGACGGAATTGTTAACGATCGCTTGTTGAGAATTTTCTACAATGTGGAAGTCCTGTATACGACACAAAGCGAGGGGGGTGTCCCCAGTGTGGACGCAACGAGGGCGGCAGCGGTTAGATTCGATTTTGACGACTATCTCAATGACTTCGTCAACCTTGCAGAACCGCATGATGGTATCTGGCCACAGTAAGTTATGGAGGGAAGCGTATACATACTTTGCCAGTTGCTTTCAGATTATCAGACTCACGCTACTTCTTCACATCGCTTTGCTTGTTTTTGTTGTTTCACCCGCTTACCCCAATAGTGCCACAAGTGCGTTTGTCTTTACTTTGGACAATTCATTCTCATCAGCATCTGTAAGCGGTGGCTCCGGCTCCGGCTCTGGTTCCTCTTCTGGCGGTGGCTCCGGTTCTTCTGGTAGTTCTGGCGGTTCTTCTGGTCCTTCCGATGATCGTTCTGGTCCTTCCCCTAGTAATGAAGGAAATCGAGCAGGCTTCAACATCTGCTTTTCTGGCGACACAACAATCGATGTTCTAGGCCAAGGAATTGTGAGAATGAGCGCTTTGAAGGTTGGTGATAGGGTCAATATTGGCAATGATGAGTACTCAACTGTCTATGGCTTTGGTCATTTGGACAACTCCAAGTCCAACGAATACCTGAGGGTTCACACAAAAGGGAAAGATGGTTCCCGGTTGTCACCCTTGGAGATTTCCGATAAGCATTTGATCCCGATCAAGGGCTCGACAACTGACGGATCGAGGACCGCCACAACGCTACAAGCAAGCAAGTTGCGGTTGAATGATATTCTCTACGGAAAGGGAGAATCCGAGTATGTTGTTACAAAGCTACAACATGTCACTCGAAGAGGTGCCTATCTGCCTTTGACAAAAGAAGGCAAGGTTCTCGTGAATGGAATTGTCGCATCGGCCTACGTTTCCATCTTCGACGATGCTCCGAGTGTGATCAGCTTGGTCACCAAGGTGGTATCTGAAGAAACTTTCTTTGGCTTGTTTGTCTCTCCTTTCCGTTTGATATGTGGAAAGATGTCTTTCACTGATGTTTGCACTAGCGAGAGCATGTTTGACAAGGAGACAGGAATCTGGCATTGGCTGTTGTGGGGCCAACGACTGACTATCTCTGTCGATGGTGCCAATGCAGTATTGCAAGTAGTTGGTGTTGCACTGGCACTGGTTGTTCTCGCGATTGTGAACGCTTTGGAATGGCTCTGGACGATGAGACTCTGGACAATTGCAGTTCTGTCAGTTTGGTATGTTTTGGGAATAAAGGTGAAGATCGACAACGAGAATGTGAGAGCAAAGCAGGCAAACGAGAAGGAGAAGTCGATATGAGATAGATGTGGTGCGTACTACTATACAAACATGCACCTTTGAGCCGATTGATGTTAATTTAAAAAGAAACCACTACAGATAGCTAGCTGGCTGCCTGCTATGTAGTTGCAAAGGTATATGAGCATTTGTACACTGCATGGACGAACGGGGTTGCTGTACCGGTAGCCGGCCCCCGATTTCGATGATTGATCATTCAATTGAATCTTTCATGAGAATCTGAATCGATCATTCAGGCTGCGGAAGGCACGAGCCCATGTTGAGAGTGTGGGAGTCGAGTCGAGTACGACTAAACGCTTCCGAGAACATTCGTCGTTGACTCTGGGCTGCGAGGGGCTGGCTAAACCCTAGTTGCACCGAACATAATGCCATAGCTCAATGATAGTGTTTGAGCGTTTGTTTGGTTGCCAGCAACGATTCTAAACATAGAAGCTCCATTCGTCCCCCCTTCTGTTGTGGCTGTCAGGCAGGCTTCATGGGAGCAACATCCAAACTTGATCAAATGCCGGCGACTTGCACAAGGGTGGACACATGCATTTGGTGAGCGCCATGATGGAATCTTTGTCGTTATAGATCGAGTAGAACCTCTTGATCACCGCATGCATCGTTGGAGAGATCATCTCTACCGATACCGCAAGTGCCGCCAAGAGAGCATTTCAAGACAGATCAACTATTTATTCATCGCTGTCTCTGCGTCCACTGGATCGGAAAACCATTATTGAATCTGCCAAGAAGACTGGCCGTGTGGTGGCCCTGGAGCAAGGTTGGCCACAATGTGGTATTTCCAGTGAGATTGCTGCCATCTCGATGGAAACAGATGCCTTCAAGATGCTCCCATGCGTGGAGCGAGTCACTGGTGCTGATGTTCCAATGCACTATGCTGCAGATTTGGAAAAGGCAGATTTTGCCACAGGTGGAAGCTGCAGGGGCTGCAATTTTAAAAACGAACAACGTACCGTTCCATGGCAGCTTGTGAGCACAAACTCTGGTTCGGCTTTCTCTTCACTGCTTGTCAGCCACTCCTTATGCCATGTGAGCCACTAGCATGTAAACATGTGACTAGTCTACTACGGTAGTCTTCATTGTTTTGTGTTTGCTGTATCTCTACTTGCGCTGTGTCTTTCCGCTGTAGGACGAACACGATGGGATGAGCAGGCATTACAAACGGAATCCATCGGTACTACTATGGACACCGATAGCCTGCTCCATCTGGCACTTGCCCTCTGTGAAATCATGGCCGTCCTAGCTATTGACCCGGGGCAGACCAATGTCCGCTACGTGCACTATGAGCCAGATCCCTACGTACTACAGGCAGGTATGCAACTATGATACGCCAGATTTGAACCCGTATTTGCTAGCTAGAATAGTTTCCTCTTACAGCGGGTGCTGGGGAGTCAGACTGATTTGGTACAGTAGACACGATCCGCATTTGCCAATGAAGGAAGAGCGCTACAGCTACCGTTGTCAAAGGACCAGCCACACAACGAATGGGGCTTGTTGTCATGATTTTGCTAGCTAGAGTCGAGTCGAGTCTGCTGGGAATACGATTTCGAAGCACGTTCATTCCATGAATAAAACAAAACATCATGAAACTAGAACTCCACTGTCATCTTGACACCAGGGAACCATGAGTGTCCTACTATAATAGCTAGCAGGGCGGATGACGAAGACGCCAATAATTGTAAATTCCATGATGACAAGCTAGCTACCCATGAAGAGGGATCACCATTTCTGTGATTGAAACGATGGCAGAATAACGGCTTTCTATTCATTCTGCTTCCAAGAGCCGCAGCTGGCTGCTTGCTTGGCTGTGCTCTGAGTCGATGCAGGCAGGTGACGTGGGGGACCAACCAGCCCTCTCCTTTTGTTTTGGATTGCAACAGCTGGCATCGTCGTCGTCCTTTGCGAACAACGTCATACGCGACTTTGTGAATCATATTGTGGCAAGCGGGGCGGCCTGGTACATCGACTACGTGAAGATCGTCTGCATCCCCGTTGTTGTCGAATCACAGGCCGCCAAGGCAAACTCTTCGGAAGAGTCGAGTGAGTCCACGACGGGCTGTCTTTGCTTCGCTTTATCCATTTTTGATTGGACTTGGGCGGTCTGCAAATGTTTCGTACAATCATTTTCTCACCATCTTCCAAGCGAAGTGACAACAACATCTTCAAAAGTTCTCCAACAACAAAAAGTACAAGCGTCAAGGAAATAGGTCAGGTAAGAGTGCGTTTTGTAATCTGTAGAATAATTGAAAGTGGATTGGGTTTTTGTTGGATGAAGTTGTTGTGTTGGTGGGTGTTCGCGAAATCTTGGGTAAGCTTCGAAGACTGTCATTCTGGAGCAGTAGGCTTGGGAACGACCTCCATTTTTTCAACACGAAAGAAGGACAATGGCGCCTTCGATCAAAGAAAGAGGATTGCGGCGAACAACAACGGTTCTATTCTTCTCTCTCTTGTCATTTTTCGGAATTGTTGTTGCTTGCTTTCTTGAAAGTGAGGATTCTGGTGTCTTTGCGACATGGATGAGAACCTCCAAATGACCCAATCAAAAAGCATTCGGCTCGCCCGTTGAACTTCTTCCACGTCATGGCGCAACGATGATGCTGCTGTTTGGTCGTTGCGCGTTGAGCACAAACGTCTAAAAGCAAAAGGAAGATACCACTCACACCACTGTCCCCTTGCCTTCTGCTTGTTGCTCCTCCCCAATCTTTCTTGTATCCATCCAACCCGATCTGTGCTCTCAGTAAAGCTGGACTGTTGTGTTTTGTATTGTTGTTTGTTATTGAAAGATGAGTTTAGTGGGAAAAGATGTAGAAGTCTCGTATGCCGGCACAGCGGCGACGGAGACGGATGAAATCAGTTCGGATGATGAGGTTCATCGTCCTCTATCTCCAGAGTCGGGAGCGGAAGCTCTCTTTATGTCAGGGCTGCGAACGACAAACATCTCGGCAAATGCCTTGGCCACTGAACTCCGCAAGAATTCGCGTCCCTTTCGTTCCAATTCCACGGTAGCCACTGACGATTATGCTTCTGCTTATGACAATTTGGACGATCTCATGAACAACAACAACATTAAAGAATCTCCGCCAGGCATCTCCAAGGAACCCATTTACGAATTCGAAGAAGAACCAAAAAGCACAATGTCTACACCCGCTGCAACCACAAGTCCCGCTGACGAAGGCGTCAAGGTCGATGCCGCTTCCAACGTCTATGGAGTCGCCAAGAATGTCTGGGGATGGGGAAAGGAACAAATCGTTATTTCTACCTTTCTTGGAATCACTGAGGCCGTTGCCGGAAAGGTCGTTGGTATTGTAGGAACTGACCTGGAAGAAATTGATCACAACATCACGCCTCAGTTGACAAACTTCGACAACAGCGTCATCAACCCTGCTATCAATGCCATTGTGGGAATTGTCCTTAATGCCGCTGGAAAGTCCGAAAACTTTGTCAAGCCCATTGTTGTCTCCATTCTGAAGCCCATTGGCCTTATCAAGAGCAAGGATTCTGTCGCACCCGAGTTGACCAACACTCCTCAACCAACCGCAGTCAACTAAGTATCCTTGTCCATTCTATTTGCTTTGCTTGCTTGATTGCTCTGCCTGATACCCAACCACGTGGCACTGCTGTTACATACGGTACATGTGATCATTGACACAACAACGAGGAGAAAGGAGAAAACGTATTCGGTGAAATTTTTAGAAAGACCATGTGATATACAGTAAAAGTTAATCCTTCTCATGATTGTGCGCTATCCTTGAGAGTTTCTTGAAAAATATTTCTGAACGCAGCGTAGTGTACAAACTGAAGTCGTGGAGGTTGTGTTGAGGAGTCTCATTTAGGAAATTGACGGTAGCGGAAGGTACGGATATTATGGCCAAGAAAATCGTAACTGCTGGACTCTATCTGTACCGTACGTACCGGTGCCTTCAATGTACTAGATGCGCATTCAAGAATACTGGTAGACAGAAGGAATATGGCGGGCACCTTTCTTGTCTCAAGATATCAAGCTTTTAAAAGTTACTTGGCTGTCGAGGCATCAAACCTCCCTGGTTCCACGGATACCGGCAGTAGGGTAGCCACGATTGGGGGCTTCCAGCTGCGGTTGTGAGGCGGGGGGGAGAGGAAGCAACAGTCTTTTCATGTTTGCCCCGGTCTGTTCTGTTGCGCCCATAGCCAGCTAGTGGCTGGCTACTTGAAGTAGATTCGTTTTGGACTCCACTGGACCTGACTGACAGGGACTCAGTCCACCAGCTCCCCCGATCCCAGGCAAACTTGGCTAGTAGAGAAGTGAAGGCGGGTGCCTCTTTACGGCAGAGGCTTAGTCACTGGCTATTTCGCTAGTTAGAAAAAGTAGAGGAGAGTTGTTTCTGTTTTTCTGTATTATATTATATGCATTACATGTTGCTTTCCTTATTTTGGGTGCCTTCTTTTCAGGCACAGTATGATGTCACCCCACGCTTACAAAGGACAAATCTTTGACAGCAGAATGTCGAAATTGTCCACTTGATCGTCGGACTGTTGGCACTCAGGAGTCATGTAGTCGAAGGAAGGGAAGTTGAGACTATCCGGAGAGATCATTGCGGGAAGGGGTTCGTCGTCGTGAAGCAAGAGATGGTCCACGCTCGACAGGTCCAGCTGGAAGGTTTTGTCGCAAGTAGCAATATCACCAGGAAACACGGGCATATTCATGGCGGCAGCAATCTCGAAAGCCTTGGGCTCCATGACACGACGACGCTTGGGGGCCGGGCTGGCTGGAGCAGACTCGGGGCCGGATTCGAAGCTCACGACACTGATCTCAGAAAGGCGTCTGGAAGACTTGGGAGGCGTAGAGGGCTTGGGAGGTGTAGAGGGCTTGGAGGGTGTGGAGCTGCTCTTGGGTGCAACGGGTTTGACGTCGGTGGCATCGGTTGTGGCGGCAGCGGCTTCTCGGCGGCGCTTCTTTGCCTTGGTGGATGACTTGTATTGGTCATCGAGGTATTCACGGAAGGTTCCTCCAACCTTTTCTCGTGCGATGGCGTCTCCGCAGGCGAAGTACCATCCGCCAATGTTTCTGATGAAGCCACCTCCGGGGCTGAGCTCTCGGACCTTGTCGACGATGTCAGAGACGACGGCAGATTTTTCCAATCTTGAGGAAGCACCAGAGTATCTCTCGAGGTAGTTCTCGATGAGCTTTCGGAAGTGAGCGTTGTGCTTGTAGGCGGCCTTTCCTCTCTGGCAGATGACATCCAACTCGTGAGGGCAGTATTCTTCTCCGAGAGGCTTCATCTTCTCTGAGGTGGTCTTGACGGTCTTGGCAATGCTTGCAATGTTGCTCTTGGCAAGGATATTGGAGATCATTTTGATTGTTGGTTTGTGGTTGTGTTGTTATTAGTTTGTGGTTGTTTGTTGTTTGTGTTTTGCTTCTTTTGAAGTTGAAATTATGAGATGAGATGAGGTGTGGGAAATTCGGATACCTTTACTTCAGGTTTGAGGAGCCAAAGGTTGCAGCGTTGCAGCTTCGAGTTTGGTGATCTTTCATAGGATTCCTGCATGCTGGTACCCACAAAATGAACCTGTTGTAAGCAGGATGCGATCTCTCTTACTAAAACTTTGTATAGTGCAATCTCACCCAGAAGCGATTCCTACTAAATTGGGTATAGTATCAAACCTATCTTCCGATTACTGCATAGGTAGAGTATGATTTTAGCTATCGAAAAGCTCTAAATACAGTTTGGCTATCGCGTTGATGCTCCTACCCTTAAACAAAAATTGGTCTTTAGTAGAGATCCAGCTTGGGGAAAGCAGTCTTCTTTCTCCGAGTTTGGATGCAGGGCAATTCCAAGGCCGCTTTCATCTTGGCATAGCTCTTGGCGTCTGAACTGGTTTTTGATAGTGGCTTTACCGGTTTCCTCTAAACTTCAATTTTAGCTACGCAAATGATATAAAGACTTCTTTTGACCATTAATTCCCTATACAATTTTAGCTTCCAAGTGAGCATAGCTCAGATGAAGCTCTGCTCATTTGATTTACCACTGGCTTCTTTGTGGTACCAGGTCACCCAACAGCTGTAAATCAGGTCTGAATCTGTCGCCCAGTTTCAGTCTAAACGGAGGGTTTGCGGAAAGTGGAGTCTTCTAATGCAACCTCGAACCATACTGACTGTCTATATTAACTTGGAATATTTAGATGTAGGTGGTATTGAGAATTGAAAATATGTTAAATATATTGTTGCACTAGCTGCTTTCGAGCATCTGAAATTGTGCTTACCATCGAAGATAAAACTGAGTTTTATAGTGTTTCTGTACCATCCAGTTGTACTATTTTAGTATAAGTGTTCAGTTTTACGATCTCAAAAGCCCTTCGAAGAAGCGACTTCTCGGAGTAAGGCAATTTGTCAAGGACCGGTATGACCATTGCTTCGGCGAAGTTGCAAGTCAATTATTCACAGCTGCTTCTAGAGATCTATCAATGTACAGTATTAAAATACCGTAACTTTCGGTAGCGGTACGACTTTACTCAATCTCGATACTCGATGCTCGATGATTCTTTTCTTTTGATACACTTCCGATTCTAGGTACAAAATATTTACCCACAAGGGACTGCCTGCACTCTGTGAGGAGTTGTGAAAGACAGCCGTAGAATCTTCAATTGATCATTCATGATTGGATCATTCGATTCGATTAATCATTCGAGTCGAGTCAAGTCGACTGAGTCGAGTCGAATGCCCTGGAAACTTAAGTCGGGTCTCGAAAAACAAGGCTGCACAAAACAAGATGCCTCCGGTTGCGCCAACCACGGAAATAGAAATAGCAAAAAGGGCTGTCACTTGATTGGCAAATAGCTAATATTTACTGCCATGGGCTCCCAGAATGTATACGTGCTTTAGATAGCTGCTGTGTAGCTAATGGTTTAATCTACCTAAACCCCTTTTTATATTATTGAGGAGTGGAGTTTGGTTACATCTGGCCGGTACCGCGTATGGTCTAATCTACCTAACCCCCGTTTATATTGAGGAGTGGAGTTTGGTTACATCTGGCCGGTACCACGTAATGGTCTAATCTACCTAAACCCCCCTTTATATTGAGGAGTGGAGTTTGGTTACATCCGGCCGGTACCGCGTAATGGTATAATCTAAATAACCCAAGTTTTAACCATACCGTACCATACCGGTGCTCGCACAGTTATCACCGGTACGGTGCATAAGGCAAACTCAGCTAAACCTAACCCTACAAAAAGGACCAAAAAAAGAGGGGCGACCACAACAAAATTCGGCTTTTTTTCAGCGTTCGTCTCCTGTTTCCTCAGTTACATGCAATCCAGCCATTGTAGCCAGCTACGGTACCGTAGGCAGAGAGTTACATCGATCTGTGACAGTGGCAACAGTACCGAACACACTCAGGTTCTGCTTTACTGGCTACACTCCGTTACCTGTACCTTGTATTGGATCCTTATGATGAATACATGCACAACCGAACATTGTCAATCCAGCCATCGTAGCCAGCTACCGTAGAGTTCATCGATCAGTGACAGTGGCAACAGTACCGAACACACTCAGGTTCGACTTTGCTCGCTGCACTCGGTTACCTCGCATTGGATCCTTATGACGAATACACGCACAACCGAATATTGTCAATCCAGCCATTGTAGCCAGCTGCCGTATAGCTAGTGGCAACAGTGCCAAAAGTTCGGCTTTGCTTGCTACACTTCGTTACTAGTACCTTGCATTGGATCCTTATGACAAGTACATACACAAAACCGAATGTTGTCAATCCAGCCATTGTAGCCCGCTACCGTACAGTTACATCGGCGACAGTGTCAACAGTACCGAACACACTCAGGTTCCGCTTTGCTGGCTACGCTCCGTTGCCGGTATCTTGCATTGGATCCTTATAATGAATACATGCACAACCGAACATTATGAATCCAGCCATTGTAGCCGACTGCAGTATAGCTACATCGATGATAGTGGCAACAGTACCGAAAGTTCGGCTTTGCTCGCTACGGTTACTGGTACCTCGCATTGGATCCTTATGACGAATACATGCACAACCGATTATTGTCAATCCAGCCATTGTAACCAGTTACCGTAGAGTTACATCAATCCGTGACAGTGGCAACAGTACCAAACACACTCAGGTTCCGCTTTACTGGCTACACTCCATTACCGGTACCTTGCATTGGATCCTTATGACGAATACATGCACAACCGAACATTGTCAATCCAGCCATCGCAGCTAGCTACCGTATAGTTACATCGGCGACAGTGGCAACAATAACACACCAGTTCGGCTTTGCTCGCTACGCTCCATTACCTCACCATTACAATGAGTACAGGAATAGTATCAAGCCAGGCGCTACGAGCACTGTTCCCGCAGGAAAATGGATATCGACACAGAAATCACCACCAAACCACTAGGAAATAACAAGGAGGGATGAATCCAGTCCGAGGATCCACTCTCCACTGTGCTTGTGTGTTCGTGTAGCCTCCTTCGCTTGACGGCTGTTGCCATTCAATGACTCGACGACGATCCGTTCAGGCTGTTGGTAGGGCTGGAGTTAACAGTTTCCTCCGTACACATACCTCCGTAGTGGTAGCCTCTTCTTCCTCATGTTATTCGAAGCGATCAATCGTTCGTTGGACCGCGACAATGGTAATTCATCGGCCGTCAGTAGTACAGCAGAGAAAACAACAAATAGATATGAGTTTTATTTTCTGTGCTCAACTACAGACGACCGGAGACTTACCATTGTTTTTCAAATTGCACCAACTTGGCCGTCATGGGCCGAGAACTGACTGCCATCCCATCGTCCATAGGATTCAATGAGGGATGGCTTTCTGTTCTGCACCGGGGAAGGACGGCTTGAGTGAGGCTTGATAATAGAGATAATAGAGGTGCGAACGATCGACTCGAATAAATAAAACAACTCACCTGTTGACGGCCGAGATCTGACTGCCTTCCCGCAGTCCATAGAAATTCAATGAGGGATGGCTTTCAAATCTGCACATTCAATAACACTCTTGATTCGTACCGTACCAGTCGTTCGATCGATCCAACACCACCACTCTTGTCGGCCAAGCTTGGATTTCTCTCCTGTTTGCCATAGGAATGCAATGAGGGAGAGAAGTCAGTGCTGCACCTTCAACAATTCGTTCCTCGATTCTTTCGTAAATCCTTAACCTTAGTAACTTCAACGGTTCCTTTATCCACGAATCGATCTAAATATTTCGAAAGAGAACCTGTTACTTAACGATACACATGACCGTTGATTCTGCAACTGAAGTGCGGGTACTCTAATTTACACAGTAAACGCCGGCAAATCGATTTCAGAGTGCAACTGAGGGGGTAACCAAAAGGTGCGTCGTCTCAGGAGACGTAATTCGGTGCATAAGGCAAACTCAGCTAACCCTAACCCTACAAAAAGGACCAAAAAAGAGGGACGACCACAACAAAATTCTAACCCAGCCAACTCCGTGGTTGGCGATTGTATCAATAATTGTGAGAAGCTAGTACTCCGTGGTTTTTGATTGCCACCGCTCGCCAATCTGGCTCTGCGGGCCAATCCCCCAGCACGAGGCACGCCTTGCTGCTCTCAAAGCAACATCTCTTAGAGGGACGAAAACCTAGCTTGGGTCCATTTAATTGTTTTGGGGTATTCTTTAGCTGGCTCGGTGTCTCGAGATATGCAAGATACCTAAATGGGTGAGAGCTGTGCCGTCTGCCTGTTACGTTCCTCCGTCTCCCTTCGAGCCTTGCCATGGCTAAATGTTTGGCTAGTATTAATAGCCAAGATGAACAAGACCCTAGCAACGCGAGGCTTTGAGCGACACGATACTAAGATTCCATTATACATAAAGCAACATCATGGCCCTAAACGTACGGTATTCTTATTCTTTTATTTCTACATTATTTTGCTTGTTTGCACAGCTGCATCCTTCTTTGCTGTCCTGCGTTCTTTCGTTGAGACTGGAGCATGCAACCGTCAGGTTGGTTGGTTCAGAGGCCCCGTCTGCAGGTGGCAGCGAATGCGTTAAAACTACAGCAAGAACGACCCGGCACCTTGTTCTTGCACAATGAATTAATTGATCAGTAATTCACCATTGTATCCCATATTACGCTGATGGATCAATCAATCAATCATTCTTGGGTGATGGTAGTTGTTGTTGTTGTTGCAGAACAAACGACGACAAGTGAGCACTGCTACTGTTGATGGACTCGGAGAGCATACTACTCGAGTTGAAGTCTTGCGAGGAAAACAACAACGAGTCGGACAGTGTTCGCTTGAGGTATCGGTACCCCACGGCATTATCGGCCGCATCCAATGTTTGTGGTTGTTGCAGCTGCTGCTGTTGCCACAAGACGGCCGTTTCCAGCGTCTGCTCCGATAAGGATCGGATCAATCGAAACTCCAAGTGACTGGTGGAATCTTCTCCTTCTTGATTGTAGTTCAATGCCGGCAAGAGACTGTCACAAGCACTGGTGGTATTGGCCAATACCACGGCGGCAGCCGCCGCGGCGGGTGGTGGAGTGGCGGTGGTTGTATCGGGTGGTGGCGATTGGTGGACACTCGTACTGAGCATGCTGCGATCGGACGGAATCCGCACCGGTCGTCGGACGGCACGTTCACAGGCATTGGATTGAAAGTGTTGTTCCCGCGACTTGGTGCGACTGGGGGGTCGCATGGGGAGTTCTTCTTGTGACTTGCAAAAGAGACTGCGATGGGACGAATTCCAACTGGAGCTGGTACTGTAGTTGTGCATGACGCTGTTGTTGTTGTTGTGGCTGTGGTTGGCGACGGACGAGATGGAATAGTGGCTCAAGAGACTCCGGTTGGATGCCATGGTTCGAAAGCTGGCCGTCATGGTACTGGCACTGCTCCAGAGACTGGACTGCATGGTGGGTATCTTGAGGTATACTCCTTGTCCTTCGTTACCCTCGATAATGACAGAATCGTCAAAGTTGTCTTCTTCGTATTCGAGGAGGACCCGGAGGTCCATACTCTTGTCGTGATGAAAGGGTACGTGGGACGGTTGGTTGGGCGACGATAAGGATCGAACGGATGGTTGCTTGGACAAGTCACTAATGGAGAATTCTCGGTTCAGACTCCGGTTAGAATCGTATCGTTGTCCGAGACTTCGGTTGGAATCGTATCGTTGTCCCAAGCTTCGGTTTGAGTCAAACCTCTGTCCGAGACTTCGGTTTGAGTCAAACCTCTGTCCGAGACTTCGATTGGAGTCAAATCGTTGATTGAGACTTCGATTGGAATCATAGCGCTGGGGACGTTTGGCATTCGTGTTGAGGCTGCGATTGGAATCATACCGTTGAGGTCTGGGCATGGGGGCATCCAATTTGCGGGTACTGCCGTTGATGTTGCTGCTATTGTTGTTGTTGTTGTGAGTGCTATTGTTGTTGAGGGTGCTATTGTTGTTGTTGTTGTTGTTGTTGCTGACGAAACTGCTATTGTTGCTGTTCAAAGACGACGACGCCGACGACATGGTGGGCGGTGGTCTCCAAGGTCTCATGGCGCGCACACGGGTGGACGGAGCCACAGGAGTGTTCTTGCTGGGAGTACTTTCCCATCGTGAGAGTCCATTGTTCTTGCGGGTAATGCTCACGGCCGAAGCACCACTATCGACGGCAGGAGCGGCTGCCGATGGGGACGGTAGATCCCTGGGTTTGGCATTATCGACCTGAAGACAAAAGGACCAATCCTCGGACTGATGAACGCCCACCAAACTGTTCATGAAGACCGACATGCTCGACATGGACGACTTACTGACCAGATCGTCTTCTTGTTGTTGTTGACCTTCCTTACGGCGGATATCCACATCGCCGTCTTCCGAGAGATGGGATTCGGACAAACTTTGTTCATCATCTTGCTTTTCCATCATGCCAAAGTTGGCTTGGTGCTGCAGAGGTTTCTCAGGGTGGTAGTATCGATCCACAGAGGCACTCATGGGTGTGTGTTGTGGGTGTGTGTAAAGCTGTCTACCAAATCGGAAAGGTAAAAGGGACAGATGATGATGATAAGGGCACAGGTAGAAGCACCAGGTGTAGCTAGCTAATAATGGCACTGACGACTATAGTAAGTGATGAGCTTGCCAAGCGCTTCTCCAAATTCTTGCAATGAGGCGATTCTGTGTGGATTAAGTTTGTTCGTGGTTTCAGATAGATGATGTGAGACAGAGCCCTCTATCCCTCCTTCAATGCGGTAATTCGAACGTTATAGCAGCTTGAGATGTTTGTTCAATGACGAAGAGAAGGTGAGAACCTCAGCTTTGAGATGCCCAACACTTGCCGAACCGAAAAGGAAACACCGATACCGGTAAAGACAAGATGGGATGAAAGGTTGTATCGAAGGGAGTGTAGCTACAGTACTGCTAAGCCTAAAGCGGTACGTACAACTGTACCGGTACAAACCCCACAAATGGCAATTTGGCTTAATTAAGCCCCTGCTTGCCCTTTCTTCAGCGAAAGACAACCGGTGTTGCTGTAAAACTGCATACAGTCACCAAAATGTCCAGGAGCAAGGCAGAAAAACCATGTTAATCTATGCAACAACAGCTCAATCACAGTTCAGAAGTTGTCTGTTTTGGACAACTATCACCTCAAACTATAGCTCTTGTTAAATACTGCAGTGCTGGCATTTGCTTTGATGTTTAATCCTATTGATATTTTGCTCAATGTGACCTTTAATTCTCTCCACGTGTAGTCGAGAAGGCACGCATGAAGCGCAGAAAGGGTCTGATGACCAAGATTTATCGGACGGAAATTGCTGGTCATGAATCAGCAACTGAGCGATCTGTGCAGGAATTGCAGGAATTAGCAAACGATTTATGAGGAGAAGATTGCACTAAGTCATTCTTCAACAATGGTTATAAGTGCGATTGCCATCCAAACATGGGAAACGTCAGTCTTCTGCTCTAGTCTACTGTACTATTAATAATAGTACCAGGCTACCTGGTACCGCTATTGCTACCGCTACTGTGAGGTACTAGTACGGTCTAAAGACAACATACATGATGTACTGTATTGTGCAGGATTGAGATTGTGATTGAATTTGAAGACTCAATCACCAATTCAGCAGCTGTCGGGCACAGACCGAATGAAATGTTGATCTTCAGAGGAAACCTTTTTAATTAGATTCTTCAATAATGACAACGCCAGCCCTGAGATAGACGGCCATGGCGCCAGGAGACATCAAAACCTGGTTGGCCAAATGGCTTCCAGGGGTGGAAAAGAGCATCAAAGCGAAACAAAAGGTACTGACATCAGATGCTGAATCATGATGGGCACTTCAGCCCATTGCGATCGCATTCTTTGCGAGCCCGTTGGAGTTTATATTTTCTCTTGTGGGAGGTCAGTTCTAGGCCACTCCCAAGTAGGCAGGTAGACACCTTTGCTTGTCTGGGGTATACAGGTCCTCTATGGCTCCGTCAAGCGGTACAGCCTAGAGGGAACAACCTTTTAAATAACAATTTGTTACCACTTTAGATTAGATTAGAAGAATCTGAGAATAACAGGACCCTGAGATTTGGGGCACCTTTTATTAGAAAGGTACCAGGGTGGACATGCCCGCTTGAGAGTACTGAATATGAAATACGATGAGTCGAGTACTAGTAGTCAGAGTCGAGTCTGGCACCAAGAAAGCACTACAACATGTAACTAAATTGTTCTCAAAAAGTTGTCTTCCTCCTGGCAGCAAGGTTCTCCTCGTCAATGGAAACATGGGTGCAGAGAGAAGCAGTCGGGCCAACAAGCGTGAGAGGGTCCTCTCCCTGACCTTGAATAGCTACTGGTTTTTGGTCATGCGCGGTCGAGTACCGCTTGACTCCTACTCAATAGGAAGGAACCAAGGGCCGCAAGACCCTCGAGTCACTACATATTCTTATGAGCAAGTTTCGAGCGTTGGAATCAAAATCGGATGAAGGACAGACAGATCTTTTTTTGCCAAAGCCTAAATCTATCTTTTGGCCTGACTGATGGCAATTCACAATGATATCGGCTCCGTCACGCTGCAGATTCTGATGAGAGACGAGGGTCTATAGTGGCTAGCAGCTTGTGTCAAGAAGTGAACTAACTGCATGCATAGAGTGCGACCATGGTACGACAACGGTTCACCACCAATCGACCCCACCAACAGCAACGGCGTCGTTTGAGGACTAGCTCTTCTTCGTCGCACAACAACGGTCCTTCCAGCACCTTGGGGATTCCACTTTCCAACACGGTGGTCAAGTTCTTGCTGTACCTGTGCACGCTCTTCTTTCTGGTAATTCTCATCACATCCCATCAGAATCTTCCAAGTCCTTCCAGTAGTACTCTGGGTCGTCGCACTCGACGATTGCCGTCTCGGCTGCGAGACTCACTCTTTTTGTCACGCCATCCCAGCAGCGACAACAACTACAATGATTTCTACTACACGTACAAGAGTTTCCTGTCGTCTGCCTTTAAAAGACGATCCAAATCATCTACACCGCGCATTGCCATTGTCTTGCCGTTTATTGGCAAGGGCCCCGAATCGATTCCTCCCTATTTGGGACTCTTTTGCGGTGCCGCCGGTGGAGCGGCTCAGTTGATCGATTTTTTGATTTTTCATCCTGGAGTCTTGCAGACGTTTGCCGAACGAACCACCGTCTGCCCCCCAAATGTCAAATTCATCAATCTGCAAAGTATGGAACATTTAGCCGCCAATTACCTTTTGAGGGTCATGGACCAAATACCACCCGAAGAAATTCGGGGAGAGCACAACAACAAAGACTTGATGGCGCGCATCTTGACCAGACATCTCATGGCATATCCGTATGCATTGGTGGAATACAAACCCACGTTTGGACACGTCTTTGCCGAGTATTTGGAGGAATACTCACACTGGGGATACTCGGATCTGGACATTGTCTTTGGGGATTTGGGTCGATGGATCACGGCCGAGGAACTCAACGAATTTGATATTGTAACATATGGCTTTGGCGATCAAAACCGAGTCTACTTGCGGGGACAATTCACATTTCACAAAAACACACCCAAAATCAATCAACTGTGGAGAAAATGCGACTACCTCAGTCGATTGGATCAACGATTCGGGAACGTACTGGCGGGGAAACAAAAACTCAAATTCGAAAGTGCCGAAGGATGCTACTCGGCCGCCATTCTAGAACGACAAGACATCAGAGTCAAATATGCCGTCAAGGCGCTCACTGATACGCAAGAGTCGGATTCAGTCTACAGTCATGGACTGTACATTGCCCGACAAAAACATTCCAGAACAACCTCCTTTTTGCCCAATGTCGTCAACAAGGTAGCAGCACAGCATCATCATCGAGGGTTGGACGATTATCACAAGACCAAAAATATTGTCATTTACAAGGCCAAAAGTCAGCAAGAAGGCAAAGTCCTACTGCAATCATCGACGCATTGGTTTGAACGGGATAGTGTCTACAGTGACACCACAAAGCCGTTGCAATGGGAAGTCGGGAGAAAGGAAGTGATTGACTTGGCAGATCCTGACAGCAAAGCGAATTGTAAGAGAACGAAACATGAGAGCCAGTGGTTGCGGCTGGGCCGTGCTTTTTTTCAAACCTGTTTCATCTCATCTCATTGCTCCTTCCATCTATCTGTCTTTCCTTTCCACAGGCATGTATTGGGCACAGAAAAAGTATCAAAGTCGTCTTTGCGTGACCACGGATGTTACGGAAAACGACACTGTCTTTTGGATAAATGGGCGGCTTTTCAAACAGCGATATGAAAATGCAAAGCTGGACACTAATGTAGCCACGGCACCTTTCTTCCATTTTCAAGAGTGGAAACGGTACTATAGGGAAGGACAATTGGCAGCCTTTCGACCGGACAGTGAAGCGACAACTTTTGTCCTGACAAAGGAGGGCGCCATACCCGTCTATCCAAAGCAGGCAGAGGGAGTCGGACCTCCCTTGTGGCTCTTGCCACAAATCAAATCACCCCTGGGCAAAGCCGTGTTGCACTGGAAGGCGGGGAATGCAGAGCTTGACCGGAAACTGCTACCTCCTCGCAGTTACTGCCTCAGCAGTCGGCCACGAACCTTTCCTCCAGTTCCACCCGCTCCGCAGTGCGTCTCCCAGATTTCTTGGTGGGATGAGGAACGGGTGCACATTCTGTCCATGGCACCGGCGTGGCAAACGGATCTCGACGTCAAGTTGGATGTCACCCTGGTCCTTACGCTCCAAGTTCCAGTTCACCAGGCAAATGAAGCCACGGCTCTCAACGGGCTGCTGGATATTGTCGTTGCCAACCTCAACCGATGGCAAGGACAACCGTGTGTCTTGATCATGCACGTCGCGGTCGAGGACGAAAGTCAGCAAGACGACGTCATTCTATTGATGGAGGATCGTCTCACTGAAAAGAGTGCTGCCGGTGCCGCAAACAACAACAACAACAAATTTGACGCAAACGAGAATCCAGGCATTGACGAAAGTCCCATAGCGCTCGAGTTTGATACCGGGTCGTGCTTAATCGGCGTGATCTTCGCGAACCTCGCCGCTACGGTGGATATGGAGAAAAAGCAAGTTCCGCCCGACACATATCACGTCAGCCGCAAGGCGTTATTGAACATGGCCATGGACGCTGTTCCAACACGTTGGTGGATTAGTGGAGTCGAATTAGAAAGAGGCATGATGCTCTCGATGGACGCTGCGTTCTTTGCACACAGGGCAGCGTTGTCTTACCAGAGCGTGCCTGGAACCGTTTTCTGGCTGCCACAGTTCGCACTGGACGTGGAAGATGACTTTGATGAGGGTTTCACACTATCCAATCTGCTCGAGTACAGACACAAAGAACTAGTGAAGGAACCCATCGATTTCGAAGCTGGTCAATGCGAGGCTTCGTCGGGAGATAAAATGAAACCAGAAAGGGTCTTCGGGCCTGTTACATCTCTTTGGTGGGAACTGACAAAGAACGTTCTGCAGGAAAAGAGTTCGTATATGGAGGATGAAGAAATGACTCAGAAGCGTGCCAAAATCCAGCACGAGCTGCAGCTGCGACTTGTAGAGCTCTTGACATCCGAAAAGCACTATGATTTGTTTGCAATGGACGAATCACCAATCCTCTTGACAGACAATCAAGGACCCAAACTGGGCATGGCCACAAACGAAATCGCGCGTGAAGTGGAAGAATTTGGAGGAAAGCTCTGCTACAACGCCCTGAGAATAGCTCAACTGTCAACTTTGGGATACAGTCTCAACATTCTTCCAAGTGCCTTTGCTGCATCCACTGGAACATCTCGATCAGCAGCGTACTGGACGGGTGTTCCAGACGACAGGCACGGGTTGGAGGATGAAACGACCGTGGGGGGCTCGCGCTGCGACGGGTGTTTCATGTTTGACGAAGATCATGAATCCATTCTGGAAGGAATCGCCAAAGACGAGCGGAAAAGACCAGCAAAGGCCGCTGTACTTTGGGAGGAGCCTGAGCCAACAACAAATTTCAATCAGTAGGGGTTGGAGATTTTAGCCCACATCAGACCGGATTTCCGTGATGCGGCCACTAGCTAGCTAGCTAGCTGGTCAGCCTGCTGCGACAGGTCTACTGATTTCCCACGCGCAGAGAAACCTCTGGTGATGATTATCCACTCATCGTAGGTATGTTCTCTAAGTTACTATGGGAATACCTTCCTGCCTGGTCAGCCAGTCATGCTCAAAGTATCACCATTACACCTATACTGTTGATCTCTCGCTTTTCTGGCTTCACCTCTTTCTTGAAGCAATGCTGGCTGCGAAAGTGTCTTCTTTGGCTTCAAACTCGACTGTACGCTGGAGGTCAGAAGCCACCCTCTGAAGTGTCCAGACGCTGCATGCTTGTTTCAATTGAAGTTTCTTGTTCAAAGCTTTCAGTGTAGCTGCTTGCCTGGCTAGCTACCGGTAGTGATTCCCCAGGACCACAAGCGGATAGCAATCTCCATGCAAGCTCGTCTTCTTTAGCGCAGGTTCAATACAGAAGAAGTTCAGGCGAATTTGATGTCATCGATCGGGAGGCAACTACTATTGCAAGCACAATGATGATTCGTTTGGGAAGAATGAGCAATAAAAATTACTAATGATGCAAGTCATCGTAGACCGACTTCCACCTTTAGTACATGTATGGACTGTCGACATCCTAACAGCTCTCTCCGTCCCAACTTGGCGATTCGTCGGCGAAAGCGACTTCATCTGTGGTTCCTGGTGAGAGGACGGCTGCGTTGTCAACGGGACCACTTCCGGGAGCCGCCGAGATTTCATCTGTGGTTCCTGGTGAGCGGAAGGCTGCGTTGTCACCGGGACCATTTTCGGAAGACGAAACTAGTTCGTCTTCTGTGGCTTCTGTGGCTCCAGGTGGGCGAATGACTGCGTTGCCAAGATGACCATTATCGGAAGACCTAACGGATCTCTGTCCAATGGAAGACCTTGAGCTCCTGGGTGTAACCCAAAAGGTTCGAAGTCGCCCCTTTCCTTTTGCTTCGATTCCCCCTTCTCTTTCCTCGAGCCATTCCTTTTTCCCCGCAGCTATAAGAAGCTCGGTTGTCGACATAGATGCTTGGATTCTTCCTGCAAGCCCGTTACTTTCCATCCTACTCGCAGTGTTCACCGTGTCACCTGTGCATGGGAGAAAAGAAGCAGTTGAGATTGGCCATTTCTACTTCTTTGATCTCCGTACTTCGTTGCAAGCAACTTACCAAAGAGCTGGAATCTAGCTCTTTCGCCCCTCAGAACACCCTAAGCAATGTCAACAAGAACGGAGTGAGCCTCTCGCCCCAAAACATAGTTTCGAAACTCCAACCAGCTCTTGTCTTACAGCAGTAACCGGTCCACTATGTATTCCCACTCTCATTTGCAGATCTGCAGTATCAGCTCCCAAGGAATGGATCAACTCGTTGTGAATAATCTGGTTCATGGCAGTCATACACTCGGCCGCAAACTTGGCCATGATCACTAAAAACATGGGAGTTGATACGGGTGGTTCAAACAAAAGAATCATGGTCAGCACAGTTTGGCAGGATGGAATTATACACACAGCAAACTTCATGGTGGAACGTACCGGCATGATCCTTTTGAGGCTTTGGTACGCCTGTTGTGACAGAATGCCCACAAGGTTAGGTCCACCCAAGCAATTTGTCATCCCCAACAAACACGCTTCTCTGCAGAAAGTACACACCTGTAATAGCAAGATAGCAATCGCCAATCGTCTCCACTGTAGGGCAATGCATGTATGTGTATGTGTAAGACTACGACTACCAACCTCGAACTCCTCTTCCCCCAACATCCAGTCCAGCTCACTAACCTTTGAACACTGCCCTCTTGGCGGCAATCTTGTCAAATACCCCGTACAGAGCTTCCAGAAGTTTGAAGACATCCTTTGGTTCGCGGTTGTTGCCACTCCATGCTGTAAAGCCAGCTATGTCGGCGAAAAAGACCGTGCAGTTTTCATACAAATCGGCAATGGCGTCTTCTTTTTCAGCAGCTGGCTGTTCCAGATCAGTAGAATGAAAGTTTTGTGGTGGGGCCTTGTTTGTGGATTCGTCAAACAATCGATTTCGGACAGGTTCTGGGAACAGCGTATTGACCACTTCCGTAGATTGCACTGCCGTTTTCATTACGGCTTTTTGACGCACTTCCACAAAGCTGTCATAGCCAAGAAACACACAACTGGTAAAGACAAACGTTGCCGCCACAATAATGGCAAAGATCATGGGTCCACTGGTCGTAAACCCATCCTCCATTTGTTTGGAAGGGTAGATTTTCACATTGTAATGACACTTATCGTCATCATAGCTGTTGAGGAATGCCCCAAATCCTGTCTCACGTTTCCACTCGTGATATTCGGGCTCCGATAGATCCCCTGGTCCAATGTAGGTAGCCGATGGTCCATTGATGAGATAAGTAAATGATTGACCCCCACAGACCTCATTGTTTTCCAAGACAGCCATCATCCCCTGCGCATCTCCGGGAAGGATGTTCTCAAAGTAAACCTGAGATATACGGCGACATGTGTGAGAGAGGCGTCTGCGGCGAGAGGGGGGTATCATGGTGACGGTAGCACACACTTCACACTTACCTGCCAGTACACATATCCACTCAAAGCCCCGACGAGTGGACCTCCGTCCTCTTCAAAGATGGGCCAATAAAAGTCACTAACGGGCCCTGCCTCATACTCAAAGGCCAACTCTCTTCGATTCGAGTACAGCATGAGAGATGCGAGTTTTCCGGCTGTCGCTGGGTTACTGGTATTGGTGTAATCGAATGCCGTCGTCACCAAGGGTTCCTGGTTTTCCAGTAATTGATCCCAATAGGGCCGCCTAGTTGGTTGTCCATAGGAGTTATGGCTGATACCACTCCACGCCGGAAAGACGGGGCAAATCTGCCATAGTGGAATGTACGGGCCGTTAGGGGGCAAGGGTCTCTGTCCTCGAGGCCACTGGCGGACTTTGTTGGGGATCCTGGTCATGCTACGGAGTGGCGCTGGAAGGATGGCGTTTTCAAAGGTTTCATTAAAGTTCCCATTGCGGTTGGCTTCTTGCCAATCCAATCCCTCTTGCAACCATCCCTGATTGGCCACAGTAAAGGCATTGTACCCGTCGAGTGTCGCGGGCTGCACAATGGGATAAAACTGCAACGAGATCATCCAGGCCAAATCTAACACATAGCGAACGCGCTGTTCGAAATCAGGGAATGTCACATTCGGCCAAACTTGTCCTTGCGCCTTGGCGCTCGAGGCAATGCCCACCGCCAATGATTCGACGGCGGAAAGGCGCATCACGGCATTGCGTTTGAAAGATCCGAGGATCTTCTTGGCGTGGTCTTCATACGCCCGATGAAAGTCGTCCTCTTCTTTCTGTTGGAAGACTAGAAAGACGGTGACACTCACACCAACTGCCACAGCCAACAAGACCAGCATCAACATGATGCGCCAATAACGAACCCATCGATCCTCCGATTTGGCAATGCGGAGGGAACTGCGAGTCGAAACTTCTTCGTTCTCCATGTGATGGGAGAGGGAAAAATCCATCATATCTTCCACATCGTCTTCTACCGTCTTCATCATGGTTGCCTTGTCTCTCAATTCTTACTGGTAGCGAAGCAGTTTGTACGGTAATTAGGTGGGGTCAGATCTATCTTTTTGTGGACAAGCGGCTTTCTTTTTTTGTTCCATCCAAAACCGGGAGTTGTGTGCGAACGATGTCGACGGTTGAAAGGAGATCTTTGTTAATTTAGTTAGAAGCTAGATAAATGTAATTTATTAGTGCTTGAAGAAGACACAGAGAAGAACACTCCAATAAATGACTGCATTCAACCACAGAAGAGAACACCCTAATGACTGCATACACCTCCTCAAACCACCATGGAAAAGTCACGGAGCTGTCAAGAGGCCTGTTGAAACATACACGGGGCTTCGCGTTCTATTTCAATTTCAAAATTAATTAATAGCGTTCTGCTAGTACTACCGTAGCTACTAGCGGTACCTTTACCGTACAGTGCGTGTCTACCCTTTTAGATTTTATCAAGAGTAAAACTTATCTTAATTCAGTCACTTTATGCTAAAATCGTACGATTTTAGATAAGTACCACCGCCAAAGTTTCTGGCTACACTCTTCACTCACACTTAAGATAAATGGGTTCAAGATACAAAGTACTCAAATTTACAGAAATGCTACGATAATCTAGACACTCAGATTTCCCAAAGGAGTAGGATAAGCTATGACTCGCTATGAGTACCAATGTCTCAAATCCTAAGATACTACAACTACTATCTGGGTAGCAAGGGCAGCTACATCGTAGTATCAACTATCTTTCACATCACCATCTACATCAAAGTCCTCCATATCCCCATCTTGGGGTGACTCTGGTGTACTGCCGCAACATGACATTGTACGATGTACATTGTAGAGTGGTACTCTGCCGTCCTGATGTCTCAGCATGGAAGACCATTAGTTACTCAGTAGGTACTAGCTAGTAGCAGAGACAGATTGGTTGTTTTTTCTCTTGAAATGGGACTTATCACTGGCACACAGTTGCACTTTTAAGGCATGCTGTTCTGGTTCCAGGTTCCAAGGTTGTTCATGTTCATTCCGCAAGTGGGACTTATCACAATTGCACTTTTAAGGCAAAATTTAATAAATGGTTTCCAGTTCCCAGTTCAGGTCCCAGTTGTTCATTCGTGGTTGATCAGCACAACACACAACATCCAAAGACCACAGGGAAACGCACCATGCCGTGCCATGCCGCATGCAACCACGAGGCAATGGCTGTTAGTGCCACTCCATCGGCCACCACAAATGGGGCATTGGTCAGAAAAGACTGCTAGCTAGCTACTCGTAGTGAATGTCACGATGTCTCAATGCCATGGATTGAATTACTAGCTAGCTAGAGCCGTGTAGAGTTATCGATACATGCCAAAGGCAACAGTTCCATGCAACCACGAGGCAATGGGTGATGATGACGATGCCACTCTATAGACAACTGCACGAGCTACATAAGTATGGTATGTGTCAGAAAAGACTGCTCTAGCTACTCGTAGTGAATGTCACCAAAGAAGCAACGGTGATGTCTCTATTCTAATTCCATGGAATTTACTACTGATACTAGGCAAGTAGAGTCACATGGTTGCTTACGTACCGATAAGCCCTGAGCAAAATGAGGAACTGTGACCGGACCGAAGATCGACTGCAGCCAAGTCAAGTCGTGAGGCCTGCGGTACGACACATCGGGAAGCGAACGGCGCAGGAAGACGCACCAGTTGAAAGTGGGGTATCGGTTGCATCTGAGCCAACAAATCCAAGGCTTGAGTCATCTCTACTGAGAAAGGCACCTTTGTATCGCTGCAGGCCTACTGGAGCTTTCTCGGTGTCATGGCACCAGATCGCGATCCGTTAGAGCAGACGAGCCATTGCAGTGGCCTACAAGGACGTTTTGAATAGCAAGGAGCAGTGTAATCTTGTTGAAGAGGGCTCAGTCAACTGATCTTTGCTTGTACCATACTACCGCAAGGCAGGTAAGGTTGGCACCAAATGTAAGCCCTCCTGCACATTGGAGCGGAGACATTAACGGCCGCATCCGGGTGGACGCACTTGTACTGAAACATTGGCAAATTCAAGCAACACTTCGCATAGTGCATGTACCCAACACGGGGGTACCGGTACGGTTATGATCCAATAGTTTCCAAGTTGCTGCTGCACTAAAAACTCTGACTGTTGTTCAAAACTGACACGGGCTACCGTACCACACGGTTGTATTTGGGAATGAATTCAGCTATTAATAGAACTGTCATCGTTGTATTCATTTAGGAAGCAAGCAGCTAGAATCTCCATCGTCCTGTGACGTTCATCATACTGGGGGCTTAGCTTCAGTCCTCCAGGTTGGTGACTATGTTGCTTGCCTTGGTGGTGGGGAGCGACAAGGGCACCGGGTTCGCCGGATATCACACGCTGACTCCTCTATCGGTACCGGTAGCTTGGTGGCTACGTGCCAATGACAGTGGCTAACCGTCAAGGGAGCTGTTGAGAGCCAGAAGACTCATCGCATGGCATCGCGCAAGCTTGCTGCAGTCACCACTAGCTAGTCGACGAATATGGACAATAAACCATCTTAAACTAGAATGGCTGGTTTAGATCGGATGTTACACGTACGCGCCAACAAACTCGACACCACACCACACACGACACGTTGGCGTCTGCAACATTGCATGACCCGCTGATTCTGTTACTTCTTAGAACCTGATGGTGAAAGAGGCGCCAATTCCAGCGCTTCCTCCGTTGCCAATGCCAGCTCCTCCTTGGAATTGATAGCTTTCGTTGTCGTACGTGTATTTGGGGCCGTAGCTGCCGCCTCCATTAGGAATCTTTCCAATCTTCCATTTCGCGTCCCTTCATTGTTCGTGGGGAGAAGAAGAGGAGGAAAGTGGTCAGAACCAACCAAGCACGGCGAAGGAGGGGACGAAGTTAAGCACTGAACCTTACCCAGCAATACAAGCTTAGACAGGCTACATGCAGGCTGCCGCTAGCGGTAACTGTATTTCAAAGCGGACACAAACTACCGGAACACACCACACCGCTGTACTTGGGTGACGCACGGCATGGTACCGGTAGGGACACAATGCATAGAATACCACTAAAGATTTAGTACTACCGAAAGGCAGGTAACGTTGGCACCAAATGTAAGGCTCGTGCACATTGGAGGCAAGTCATTAATGGCCGCGTCCGGGTGGACGAGCGAACTTGTACTAAAACATTGGCAAATTCTTGCAACAGTGCGCATAGTACCCGACACGGAGGTACCGTACCGGTACGGTTTTGACCTAATAGCTGCTGCACTACACAGTGTACAAACCCAGACAGGCTACTACCGGGAACTGTCTTTCAAAACGGACGCGAGCGACCAGCCACACGGTTGTGATTGGGTGACGTTTTGACACAATACTGTACCGGTTCCACTAAAGACGAAAGGAGAGAGTGGATTGGTACCGGAGCAGTCCCACCATTAAACAAGCAGTAGTACACGTACGGCACCACTCATGCAGCGATGGCAAGGAGGAGATAAGACTGGACCTGGTGAACTCCTGGCGACCCACATGAGGCCGACCAGTCCCGAGCACATGAAACAAAACATGTGAGATTTAACAAGGAAACACATGGACTTAAACACGAGGCATGAAACAACACTCCAAGACAAAAAGGAGTCCAGTCACGAATAAAAGACTTACATCCTCGACTGTTCTTGGTGACACCACGGCACCACCGCGCAACAGTCACCATAGACATGACACCAACCAGCCACGGCAACAACAACCGTAGCACCAAAACACCATGATCAAGGCCGTGGAAGGCACAAGGACGGGAAAGGGAGGACGGGAAAGGGAGGAAAAGGATAATGCCCAGCTGCAACCATCGGTGCAGGAATGAAGAGGCGATCGCCATAGAATTCTTTCGTGAGATGTTGATCTTGAAGGAATGAAAATGGAGAAGAGTGGTGTGAAGGGATATCTGTAGTGAAGGAAAAGCACAGGAGAGAACATCGAAAGGTTAGAAAGGGAATACGGCAACGAACGAACAAAAAACAGAACACCATGGTCGCACTTACATTGGGATACAAAAGGTCGAGGAATGAAAAACGGAGGCTGAAAAAGGGGAAGATTCTCACGCCCGAAAGGCAGCCCCTCACCAAATTTTCTACCGCCAACCAGTTGGCGCACCTTTCAAACCAACGAAAAAATGCATGGAATACAATACAAAGGCCATGCATGCACGAGGATGGAGTTGGCGAGCATTGATTTCATTCGATTCAAAAGGCCGAAGGCAGGAAGTTTCTAGAACATCCAAAGGAACGTTCTAGAATTTGGGTGGAATTTCGAAAATTCCTCCGCAGACTCCCATCAATGCAACAAGAATGGTTATTTGTGGATGTTGTTGATGATAGTTTAGTTGATAGAAGTAAAATAGTCTAGACATGTCGCGACAATGGCCTAGCAGTCAGTGGAATCAAGGGTATCGGGATCCCCGACAGCATTGGCAAACATATTACACTGGTAACTCGGGAGGAGGGTACGTTGATCGCACCGCCTCGACGCCACGAGAGATAGTACAAACAAAGAAAGCACCTAGCAGGCTGTCGAACTTTATACAAGATACACTATGCAAGCCATGCGAGACACTCAACGATGCTCAGGCCGAAGTGTCTAGATATTATGGGGGCTATTACATGGATGATTACTGCATCAAGGCAGATGGCACCGAGAGAGGAAGCAACTGCACAAAATACAAGTACCACTGCATTGCCACCAGGATGCAGCAACAAACCGGCATACCTGTAAAATGCAAGTGGCGATGCCAGATAAGGAAGCAAACAGTGGAGGACCGAGAGACGTTCACAGTCTTCTCAAAGAGCTTCTTACAGCATAATCATCCCATGAAACAGCATCCAAAATCACCACAGGAGCAACACGGACTACCTTTTGCTGTACAGAGCTTCATCCAATCAATGGTCCAGCATGAACACAGTGTCAAGAACCGATGCATCCTAAAGATCCGACCTGAAGAGATTCGACAAGCACTAACCCAAGCAATTGAGTGCAGCAGACGCAGCAATAACGACAGTCATCCACTGTATACATACACGTATCTTCTTCAACCGGACTTCCGAGAGCATCTCAAGGCACAACTCAGGAGTTACACGGACCACCAAAAGATCAAATATATGGATTCGCAGTTGGGTAAAGCGCGTAGGTTGGAC